ATGAATTAAAATTGATAATCTTTTTAAAAATCAAATTTACAATTATCATTCAATGAAAAATATTCGAGTGATTATAAATGATTTTAATGTGCATTAGGGATTGTTGAATTTTTATTAACTAGTATGAATCCTAGATACAATTATCCTAAGAGATCTGTTTCCAGCATGGAGAGATAACAAATCCTTAAGGCTTTGGGAAGTAATCCTTCTGATAAACATATTGAATACATGGCATAGGAATACGATCTCAAAACACGAACAATAAAGTCTTGGATAAAACAGCAATTTTAAAATTAAAGCAAAGCATCTGAATCAGAGGAGGACTATCAAAGCAATCGCAAAAAAAAAACAAAGGCAGATAAGGATCTAATGGACTTTGAAAGGAACTTCAATTAAAACTCTGATGCCTATCACTATGAAATCACAAGTATGGACCTCCTAAAGAATGATAAATTATTGAATTAATAAGAATCTGCAAAACCTTAGTAACGAGTAAATTCAACTCCACAATAAACTAGTAAACCCTTGAACAGTGAGGATTTTTTTTCAATGAAAATTGATTCACAATTATAATAGTCCTAAAAATTTTCACTCTAAAATTTTGACGCCCTTTTATTATTACTAGATTAGGACGATGAAATACACCATTTAGTATCCTTACTTAGAAATCAGGAAAGATAGATTGAAGAATTGAAAAAAACTCAATCAGAAATTTTAGAGTACATGTGTTCGCATTTGACAAAGAAACCAAAAAAGATCTGATTTAAATATTATAAATAATAGCAATATTATAATTAGATATTGAACTTTCTCTAAGATTATTAAATGAGATATAGAGAGGTAGCAGGTAATGAAGCTTAAGCTTTATTATATTGCGATTTCTTCCATTTTTCAATACAATTTTGAATTTAATTATAATAAGATTATAATGAGTGGTAATAGTAATAATGATAGTATGTCTCTAAACTGATTTAATATAAGTCCTAATCAATAGGAAATTTATGCCCAATTTAGATTTACTTTTGCCATATATCTTCAACACAGATATATGATAATTTCTGCGTTGCTTTTTTAATGGCTTAACAATCTACATAATGGAAATAGAAAATTTAAACAAAAATAAACCAAGTGATTTGCAAATCATAAGCCCCCTTGTGTTTATAGGTTAGTATAACTAGCTTATATTTATTGGATGTCTTAAGAAAGTCAGGCCATTCTAATCAAATTGAGATGATCATCAAATAATTAGCAATCTAACTCAAATTTAAGAAATTTAACTCCACCCCTAGACATTCTTGTCTCCACAACAGTCTTAATCTGAGGAGTGAATATTTCATTAAACATCAACTACACTCTCTTAGTGCAGTCTGTTAGATTACAATACTTGATGGAAATCCCAATTCTCTTCTTAGGGCAACAGACGATTCTCAGACCAGCATATTATGCCGACACTTTCTGTCCCAGAGAAAGGAGGACTTTAACCCCAGGGTTTGTTTATGTAATTGCTTACATTCGTGTATATGTGCCCCGATGACTAAGCAATTTGCAAAATCTTTTGTTTATTTTTATTTAAATTATTGAAAAATAATCACAAGTTAATTTAGTCAAATAATGGAAATATAATTATTTGAACGCTTTTAAAAATGATAATTTGATATGAATATGTATACTCTAATTAAATAATTATTGGGCTAATTATATTTATAATTTTTATTATAACAGACAAATATGTATAAAGTTCTTATTGCACTAAAATCTTAATAACAATTCAAGTGTTCAGTGACAATGGCAGGAAAGACCAAAGTCGTGACTCTCCCTTAGACTGAAGGATTAACATTTAATGTAAAGTATTGTAATTAACATAAATAAAGCTAATTGGGTTCAATCCAGTTAAAGTATAATGATGAAGTCTTCAAAATTCAAATGAATGAGGATATCACTGAGACAACAGGCGAATATAAGTTTTCAAATGTAATCGGATAATATTATATTGTTCTGATACAAGATGTAGAAAAACCATCTAAATTAAACATAAAATAGAATGCATAAACATCAGAATCTCCCCTTAGAAAAAACGAAACAGAAAGAAGTCTAACTGCTAGTGCTAAGAAATTTACTTTTAAGACCCCTACAAATAGATAGAAATCTGAATCAAATTAAAAGTTGATACAATCTTTCGTTTTAGGAGATAATTTAATGGAATAATTGAAATAAGAGAATAAAGAACTCAAATAAAAAATAATTGAACTTGAAAACTAAGTTTTATCATTATAAGAATAAAATGAATAGAAAAATGAGAAAGTGGAATTACCTAAATAAGAAATATAATCAAATGACTTTAGAATAGACTTTTAAAATCTATTAAAATTATAGCAAAGACAGGCTCAAGAGAATAAGCAATTGCTAAAATAATTAATGGATTTAGACACTAACTATCAAGAGTTACTAGATAAGAAATCATAAGTTGATTAGGAAGTGACAAAATTGAAATAAACTATCAGTTAATTTGACTGTCAAATAACACAATTAAAAAGCAGACTAACTTAATTTGAAATTGATGGACTAAGTTAAAACATTTAATTAAATCTACAAATTGCATAACCAATAGAAAATGATGAAATAATTGATAACTTAATCAAACAAATTCTAAAAATGAGAGCAACTGGATCTCAATACATTCCAATAAAAGAAGATAAACTAGATTCCAAATTAGCCTAATTGATTGCTAAAGATCATACTCAATAATATTAATTTATTAGACTAAAATAAGGATTATATTTAATAGGAGAAGAATAATATTAATTGTTTTTGTAAGAGAACAAGATAATGATTACTACTGAAGAAGGAGCCCTATAACTTTAAGATTTTATTAAAAGTAGAAAAAGAGTAAAATCAATCAATGTTCGTAAACCTTGAGATTATTTATTACTTTAAATTATAATATTAATCAAAAAAGTCTCCAGATAATTTATTATATTTTATATAATCATAATTCATGAAAATTATAAGAAAATTCTTATATAAAAAGAATTACTTATAGTAATGAGAGTTCGACTCAAATAAGAAAATAGGTTCAGAATAAAAGTTGTATTAAATTATAATGATAATATTATTAACAAAGTTTTCATTCTTCAATTTATACTTTGTCGATATAATAACCTTAAATAATTCTATTTCTATGTTCAATCTGATTAGCAAATACATAACTGAATTCTCCTGTGTAAGTGGCATCTAAAAACTTCATAGTATCCTCTGAAACCATGATTCTTCCAATTTATGAATTCTATTCCATCTTTTTGGCTATGGCCACATCTGATCCATATATATCATATCTCACAATATCTGTTCCTACTATGCCACCAATTATATTCCCTGTATGTATTCCAATTCGCATATTGATATCAGGATATTGAATATTTTTCTTAAGTAAATTTACAATGTCTAGTAGTTGAAAACCAAGATTGACAACGTTGTAAGCTTCTTCTTCTCTGATTCCATTGTTTGCATCCAAGACTCCTATTACAACATAACTATCTCCGATGGAATACAACTTATACACATTGTTTTCAGTGCAAGCAACATCAAACTTATTAAAAAGGGAACTCAACATTTACAATACTTATTAAGCATCAACACTAGTAGAATATTTAGTAAAGCCAGCTATATCTGCATATAGGATTGTTGCATTCTCAAAAACATCAGGTATAGTGTCTTATTCTTTAAAATATTATTATAAAATATGAGAAGGTAATAGATGACTGATTATTTTGTTTTATTCTTGTTATTGTTACAAGAGTTGATCATGGATATTGTAGTTCTAATAAAGTAAATCTTCATTTTGGTTTCTTTGAACAAATATAAAGATTTCAATGGCGAGAATGAAAATGATTGTTTCATTCCATTCATTGGCGAAAGATAAGATGAAAATTATGTGAGAGTATTTTAAAATAAATAACAGTTTTCTATGACGAGAAGTGAAATAGGGTAAAGCTCTCAAATAGTATCCCAAACATAAAGTGAAGGCTAGGATTAGAGTAATGTAAGTTCTTTCAATTGGATCATTAATTATGATTGTTATTACGTTGAATAAAATACTGATGAAATAGCCTATGATCATCCCTATTTAGAAGATATACTTATAAGCATCTCTTAAGCAGAATGGAACAACAATACAACTCATTAAATAGAATGCAATCTTCAATCCTTCAATTGTAAGATTGACTCCTAAATATTGCTTGTATTCCATTAAAGCAAATAAAATTGGTAATTAAAATATCATCAAGTAAATGAATAGAATTAAACAATACTAAACCATATCCTTAAATAATTTATGATTATAAATCCGTATCATCTCTTTGTATTTGAATTGACGAAAATATACTAAGATTATATTAATTTATTTACCTCTTCTCGCTTGATTTGTACCAAAGTCACATTTTACTCTAATCAATTCCTACATAATATCTGTTTCAATTTTCTCTTGATTTCCAATTAACTATTGTAGTTTTGGAATTTCAATTTTCTCTTCTTATTAAAGAGTGGAATCAAAAAGATGGTTGTTATTATTATTATTTTATATCGATTTCTAGCTCTTAACATTATTCTATGGGCTCTTTGGCATAATATCATCAACATTTTTTTAAGAATCAGCTACCTTCATATTATCAAAGAGATCACCAAATTGATCTCCCAATGGATCTTCTTTCTTTTACTATTATTATTATTGTTATTGTTATTATTATTGTTATGGTTATTAAACTTAATCATGTGATGACATCATTTAAGGATTCACTTCCTTATATCTAGTGACTCTACTCTTTCTGTGCATAGTAATACGTCTATTAGATATATCCTCTGCTATTTGATTTTAAATAATTACATATTAACTTATTTGCTGTGATTACATCTTGTATTACTTTCCCAAATTACTCAACAGGTAACTGATAAACCGATTTATTCCTAGACATTGATGATTTCCGTGCTATATCAAATTAGAACCCTGCAGGATTAACAGCATTTGTCATAAGATCATTGTTAATCGGCTTATCATTAGAGTCCAATCTTTTAAATTAAATTGAACTCACCAACTTAATGATGGGTGATTTGTCAACCTTTGCTGCGAAAGTGCTTTTCTTATTAATTACCAGTTAATAAAGCACATAAATATTCTTCATATTGATTTCCTTAACTTAAAACTAGTACTTCATTTGCCTGACTCTAATAAAGGCACTTTCAGTCAATGAGATCTTACCTGGTTCACATACTGTACATGCTCTGCAAGTTGTATTTACAGTGTCTCCTATCAATGAGAATTATGGTTTATGTTGGCCGATTACTCCAGCCATCACATTACCATAATTAATTCCAATCTTTATTACTATCTGTTTATCTTAGTATTTCAAATTATTAGTTGATTCCATCATGGCTATTGCACATTCAATCATTTTCTAAGTTGAGTTTTTTGATTGCTTATCAATTATATCATAGTCTTTTAATCCTGATGCACAAACATAGATCTATCCTACTGTCTCAATCTTCTAGATGTTATACTAATTGCATATTGTATCGAAGGTTCTATAGATAGAATCCAGAAAACTAATGATCGACACCTTTTCGGATTCAATAATATCATCAAAGTCACATATCTCACAAAATAGGATTGTGACTGGCCCTTGATCTTCCTGTATTTATATATACCCTCTTGCCATTCTTTCCTTAATAAATCTAGGCATCAATATACTCAATGCGTCATTCAATTTCTTTTGTTCTTTCTCCAATTACTCTTGCAATAGAAAGTTCTGTCTCCTCAGATACTCATTCACATATGATAAGAAATACCCACATACTATTGCTAAACTACATATGATTATCAAAGCCAAAATAAACATTATCTGTTTCTATGGAGAGTATTAATATTTTGGTGTTATAAACTTCAAAACCACTCCCAAACTTATTAAACTCATAAGGATTATTGTGCCTTTAAATCTCAAACTCTGCTTTATTGAATAATTTAAGAGGATTATCATAAATATTGATGTGAAAATGACTTGGTTCATTATGTAATCCTAATCCAATAAGAATATCGTAATGTATTAAAATAAGAATCTACTTAAGATGCTGATCAATTGTAAATTTTATTAGATCTTACGAGGTGTTATTTCCAAGTATTATAGAATGTAAATTGTAATACTGTAGAACAGTTGCACACCCCATATTATATAGATTGCTATATTATTCTCAATGTAGTTCACTTAGATCAATAGATTAATGAAAACTGCAGCCTCAAAAATGATATACAAAATAGAGTTTTAACTCATAGACTCTTGATATCTTATCTCGAATTCCTTCTGATTGAAAGTCAAATTTTTCTTTAATTCTATTTATTCATCATTATTAATGTTATTATTCAATGCCTTATAAATAGAGTCATCCATCTAATTGTTATCAGCCAAAATGGACTTAATAAATTTCTTTCTTGATTAAATAGATAGTTGTAAGCTCTGTTTAGTTTATCTTTATTTCTTAGTCTGTTCAATATATTTAAAATTTGATTCATCTGTAATCAAAATATCTTGGAACATCTCCAAATTATACAATTATAAAATAGAAGCTACTGCAAATTTAAATACAAATGCAAATATGTAAACAAAGATTAAACTCCTTATTATAAATCCAGGACTGTAAAACAAATCTGAGTAAGATACATGATATTCATTATAATCAGGAATAGTCAGAAATGTTACCAATGCAACAACGAATACACTCAATAATAATAATCCCAGAAGCTATTTATATTATTATTCGAATATTTAGAAATACAATTATATTTTAACTATTAATTCCAAAGTGATAATAAAGGCAAATTATGATATGGGTAAGTAATTGGAGTCTCCATATAAGTATTTTGTAGCATACAATGGTATACTGACTATTGCTGCATCAACCACTCCTACTAGAAATATTTTAATCAATGAATCTTTATTAAACAGAGCCTTAACCAAGCACCTTTAGGGTATTAATCCTTTGTAATGAACTTCTGAATTCTTGAATCGTTGATTATGAGATAGTAATTAAATCATCACTGTAAAAGTTTGACTCAATAAAAGGAGGATGTTGCAACTTTAGGTTAAGAATTATCCTTAATTTATGAGGTTTATGAGCACAAATAGAATCATCTCGTATAACCAAAAGTAAAGAATGGATTAGGCCAACAAAGAAGAACTGATACACTGAATTATTAGGATAGCTTCTGCACATCTTAACGAATTTACTAAATAACAAGGCTTGGATTAAGTGTAGCATTTCGGGTTGATATCAATAGATATTTAACTCATATTATAGACTCTTTGATTGTTAACACAACTTCCTATGTATCCAATTTACATATTGAGTTTTTTGGCAATCTTAAATAGCTTTACCTTTGAGATCTCCAAACTATCATATAAAGCCAACCCCCTGCTGAACCAAACTATTATGGCGAAATGATTTAAGAGATACTCATCTTTGATTATAGTTAACAAGGCTTCACAACTCAGGAGAATGTACTTCTTTTCAAAGTCTTGTGCTTCGAATATTCTTAAGTTTAATCTCACATTTACCTTTATTACTTTATCAGATTGGAGCAGGCACTCTAAATTGCAAATTTCAAAGTTCTCTCATCCCCAGAACTGAATTAATATAGCTCATTTTCATTTTCTATAAATTTTGCATCAAACAAAAATCTCAGCACCACAAATTGATTTTCAGCAGATACCAACCACGTATTTAGCTAAAGATCATTTTGATTATAATAATACATTTGCTTATGAGAATGCATCTATTGTGAGTAGAGCACTTTGATCTATTTTTGCATGAGTTCCAATAATCATAAGCAATTCAGCTTGAGATTCCAATTGTAAATACAATTATTCCAATTAATCTTCGTCTGTTGTATATGAATTCATAATATTCATCTTATTTTACAAGAACTATTTAGCCTCTGTCTTTTTAAGTTACTTCTTGAAATACAAGGTTGGTTATTGTCCCCGTTTCAACATATAATATAGAGTTGAATTGGTTTCTAACACATTGATATTCATATTCGTATTTTCATACATTTGCGAAGTTTCAATTTTTATATAGAGAAGAGCACCTTCATCTTCATTGAATTCTTCAGGATCTTTTAGGAGCACGGAATAAACTCCAATTCTATTTTTGGTTTGTTTATTTTCACTTAAGATCTTATATTATTTCAATTTGCCTTGGATTTCAATGATTTTTAGTTAACTTTTGAGAATTATGTCATATATTTAACGTTCGGTTTCAATGCTACACTTAAGTTTGTATTCTAAGAGATTGCAAAACTCAATTAAAATATAATCCTGGGGGTTTTTACAATAAGTTTCTATTGTTTTTTTCTATTCATTATATTTATTCTCTATCTCACATAATAATAATAAGGCAACAACTTTCTCGTGATATTGATTGTCGAAGTCATCAAACAATTAAGTGATAAATTACTACTCATTCAATTGTTGCTTTTATAATTAATTGATAGATGAACTTTAGTCACTTCCACTCTTTACAATTTTGGTTCTAAATGATATAGTTTTCCCTAAGGAATTCTTTAGTTTTTTCTATTAAGACGCATCGATTGTTTTCTTCGAGAGAGAAAATTGCAAATTAGTACTCATTCCATAATTCTATCTTTCCTCTTAATTATGAGGCGAGTAAGGATGGGAATTGATCAATTCACTGTAATCCTTCTTGTCTTCATCAAAAATATCGTTTTCTCTGCCTGTATCTAACAAGGTTTTATAATAATTATCTCCCAATTAAATTTAATTACTATTCATTATTGTTACTAATTGTTTGTATTTGAACATGTATTGTTTATCATCAATGTAGATTGATTGGATCTTTCTCTTCTTATGAAAATACTATTGATTCAATTCCAAACACACCAAATTCACCTTTGAGCATTTCCAATACTGAAATAATTTACATTAATGATTACATTAGTTTATTACATCATAATTTAGAAGTCTTTAATTTATTCCTGATTCGACAGTTTATTCTATGAAAAGATCTCAGTCATATTCTTAACCTTGTTAAATTCAATCCAAATGTGTTTATCATCTTAAACAACTTAAAATTTATAATATGTATACTGTCTTTCCCTTAGTTATTTCCTTGTCCTATGGCATTCATTGGCTTCACTTTCTTCTGAATACTTGGTTGCTTAATGTAATGAAAGATCTAGATGAACTCTTTATAGAATATAGCATATAATGGAATTAACATAGAATTGAAACATAAGTGGATTCCATAAATTGATTTGTAACTTAGATTTGCAAGCTACAATTAACATATCAAATACCAAACTTATGAAGTACCCAAGAATTATGAGCCCAATAAACAGGAATGACTTTTATCGTTTATGCTTGATTGGCTTATAAATACGTAAACAATTATTTCCTGCTACCAAAACTATTCCTAATGCCCAATCTGTATTTAATAGCTTCTCCCCACTAAAAATAATATTGTCCTGATTGAATTTAAACACCTTTGGATCATTCTTTAATTTAATTGTCCCCATCAAACTAGACTTCTTGCCAAATTAATAGGAATACTAGATCTGTCCATTCAAAGTTAGTTTGAACTCAACTAACACTCCTTTTGTATCTGATTTTGGTTACACTAAAGATAAAAGATTTAAATTACTAAAAGTAGATTAACAAGGGATTGTTATTTTAGGTGTTTGAATGCCAAATTCATTCTAATCTATTTATACAACCTGATGACTTGATTCTAAAAGCAATACATCTGCAGGACATTCATGTTTTTTTTATAAGATAACAATATCACCAACTTTTATCTATTCTCTCAATACTTATTTTTATGGAGAGAAATAAGTGTTTATATCTTCAGAAGAATCTGATGCCAAAGGTTCTTTGGAATGAATAAAGTTCTCTAGAATACTATATTTCTATTCATTCAATTGTGATTCCACTATTCTAAAATTACGAAATTTTAGAACAGACTTTATTACAAACAGACAATAATCCAATAGCAATACAATGCTTTGAAACAAAAGAACTAAATTGCTTTCGAATATGCAAATTTTAATTACCTAGCTGCATCATCCTAAAGAGCCCAGCTGATTATGATGTAGACCATTATCATTAGTATTTCGAATCTCCAGAGAAAGGATAACACTTCTAGAATATGTTATTTAAAAGTAAATGATTAGACCTTATTGCCTATATAAGATTTTCCATAACCAGTAAGAGCCTTTACTTCTCCATTCACAAGTTCAATCTTAACACATAAATACCAAAAATTACTTTCTTCAAATTACTCTCTGACTTTTATTGAATTAGTTTCTACACTTTTGATGATTATTTCAAGTAAAGGTACATAATCAATGAATTTAGCCATCGCATAATTTATTACAGAAAAATATAAATTTTTAAATGTTTCATTTGGCCTGCATTCGTAACATTAGTTCAAACAGTTTTTGGAGAAAAGGGTATTTAATCATGGGTTCATTCAATACGAACTTAACTTTCTTCATTCCTATTAAACTTTTAATTGGAATTCACCTACTTCTCAAGAGGATTTATTCAATTCTTATACTTCTTCCTTTTCGTGAAGCATTCTTCATTTAAAATTATATATTGTTATTTGGACATAGCTTTTAATTACATCATTTTATTCTTACTTTGAAAAGATGATTTATTATAAATAAAAAAATAATTGGTTCTAGCTAATCAAAATTTCGAGTATTCTCATATACCTACTTTTAATTAACTAACCAATGCAATTTTTAAATATTTAAAAGAATGCATTTAAGTAATGAGATCTAAAGGTATTACTTTTTATAAGATATTTGAGTTATGAGAGTATTTCAACTTGCATATTATGATAAATTATAAAATCAATTAATAGTACAATAACTATTTGATTAGCCATTAAAATTATTTATTTATTTGTCTCAATACTCTATAAATTATTATACTTAGATTTTTTCTTAATAATTTTGATAGATTAAATAAATCATTGCTCATCTATTAAGTTTGATGTGAATATTTATAGTACATCCAGCATATTCTAATCAAATATTAATTCAAATTTATTTTCAATCAATCAACCAAACCTTAAATTTATCATCAATCATAAAATCTAATCCGAACAACTCAAAAGTGTTTTCTTTCCTTTTAGGATCCAATTTACCGTGGGTTGCTTTAAATTGATCTAGTGCAATATCCTTCATTTAAGTAAAAATCAGTTAGCAAGAAATTATTAAATTCTTCTAATGAAACCATGTTCCCTTTTTCAAATCTACCATAATCTTCTGAATGCTTCTATACAGCATCATTAGTTAGATAATTTAGATCTTATTTATTCCCTCATACCTAAATGTGTATTATTTTAAATATGATCGTGCAGTTTTGTGTTATTATTTACTTCAAACAGTCTAAGATTCGAAGAGAATTTTTTAGCTTAATCATATGATATAATTTTGGAATTCTTTCCAACTTTTTTTTTGAGCTTTTACAAATCAAGGNTCTCCAGAGAAAGGATAACACTTCTAGAATATGTTATTTAAAAGTAAATGATTAGACCTTATTGCCTATATAAGATTTTCCATAACCAGTAAGAGCCTTTACTTCTCCATTCACAAGTTCAATCTTAACACATAAATACCAAAAATTACTTTCTTCAAATTACTCTCTGACTTTTATTGAATTAGTTTCTACACTTTTGATGATTATTTCAAGTAAAGGTACATAATCAATGAATTTAGCCATCGCATAATTTATTACAGAAAAATATAAATTTTTAAATGTTTCATTTGGCCTGCATTCGTAACATTAGTTCAAACAGTTTTTGGAGAAAAGGGTATTTAATCATGGGTTCATTCAATACGAACTTAACTTTCTTCATTCCTATTAAACTTTTAATTGGAATTCACCTACTTCTCAAGAGGATTTATTCAATTCTTATACTTCTTCCTTTTCGTGAAGCATTCTTCATTTAAAATTATATATTGTTATTTGGACATAGCTTTTAATTACATCATTTTATTCTTACTTTGAAAAGATGATTTATTATAAATAAAAAAATAATTGGTTCTAGCTAATCAAAATTTCGAGTATTCTCATATACCTACTTTTAATTAACTAACCAATGCAATTTTTAAATATTTAAAAGAATGCATTTAAGTAATGAGATCTAAAGGTATTACTTTTTATAAGATATTTGAGTTATGAGAGTATTTCAACTTGCATATTATGATAAATTATAAAATCAATTAATAGTACAATAACTATTTGATTAGCCATTAAAATTATTTATTTATTTGTCTCAATACTCTATAAATTATTATACTTAGATTTTTTCTTAATAATTTTGATAGATTAAATAAATCATTGCTCATCTATTAAGTTTGATGTGAATATTTATAGTACATCCAGCATATTCTAATCAAATATTAATTCAAATTTATTTTCAATCAATCAACCAAACCTTAAATTTATCATCAATCATAAAATCTAATCCGAACAACTCAAAAGTGTTTTCTTTCCTTTTAGGATCCAATTTACCGTGGGTTGCTTTAAATTGATCTAGTGCAATATCCTTCATTTAAGTAAAAATCAGTTAGCAAGAAATTATTAAATTCTTCTAATGAAACCATGTTCCCTTTTTCAAATCTACCATAATCTTCTGAATGCTTCTATACAGCATCATTAGTTAGATAATTTAGATCTTATTTATTCCCTCATACCTAAATGTGTATTATTTTAAATATGATCGTGCAGTTTTGTGTTATTATTTACTTCAAACAGTCTAAGATTCGAAGAGAATTTTTTAGCTTAATCATATGATATAATTTTGGAATTCTTTCCAACTTTTTTTTTGAGCTTTTACAAATCAAGGCATAATTAATACGGTAATAAATTTTGATATTAAATATCAACAAATAAATTTGATTATTCTTAGGTCTCTCTATCTTATTAAAAGATCTCTTAATTTGATTTACTTATCGAATTGATAAGAGTTATTCCTCAACTATTGCCATAAAAAGTTTTCTTATTCTTTACCTTTATCAACAAATAATGATGACCATTTTTTTAAATCCACTATACAAGTTGTCCATAATTACCTTTACCAATATAGGCATTATATGAGTGAATGGTAGGTTCAATATTAAGGTTATTGGACGAGTTAATTGAGTTTTAATAGGTTCTTAAATTAGCATTATTAAAGTTGAAATTCAAGATCTTAAGGGTATTTTTCATCATCAAAATAAATTTCATTAAACTTACTTTTCACAATTTTAGTTTTTAAAGCCTTCAAAGGAAATATGTTTGGTTTATATGAGAATTTAGGTTTCTAAGATTCTTGGGCATTTTATGTAACGAATTTCCGACTAATAGGCACTTTTCTGGTTGTTCCTTTTTTAATTTCTTCTCCTTGATTTAAAAATACAATAGAGCTAGAAGCAGAGATTTACTTGATGAATCAAAAATTAGTTCAGTTTTGCTTGAATTTTTTGTGCTTTGAATCACGAAGCCATAGCAGGAATGAGGATATTCAAATCCAAATGTTGGAAATGATTTTTCTCTAGGCCAGTGTGGCAATGTCCGAACTGGGATTATGAGAAGTAACACCTTTATTATTGTTTTTTTTAAATTCCAAAAAAATAATCAGGCTATAAGCAAAAAAATGAAGATATTACATTAGAATCTAGAGATATTAAATTAGCTAATAAAAAATTATATCCATAAAATGAACTAAACCTAATAGTATTTCTAAAAACATCTTTTACTTCCGTTTTTACTGTTATAAAGTCTAATAAAAAATTAATCTTAGATTGAGTCATTTAATTTATACTATATTTATTAATTTTAATAAATAGATTGATGCTATAATGACTGAAAGAATGTATGTATTAGCTGACTAATTACTTTTTGAAAGAGAACTTATTTACATTACATTTTCTTAATTGATTTAAAAAACAAATAAATAAAATTATTAGTATTATATAGTTGATAATCAGAAGTTATGATTTTATAAAGGTTTGAATTTTTCCCCTTTGATAAGTGAACTATTAGGTAATGGCAATGGTTTTTTTGATTTATCCAAGAGTTGGGAATCATCAATAGATGAATAGTAGATCTTGAGTTAATTCATTTTCTTTTCAATAGAATCCAAATCTGTATCTGACTCAAAGATAATCCATCTTTCTCTATTACCACTCTTCCATTCTCCTTGCTTTCTTTAGGCTCCAGCAATGAAGAGTCCTCTACCATGTTACTTTCCTTCTAACCAATACCCCACATATTTTCTACCATCAGGCCTACAATTAAGATGACAACTATACCATTCAAATACCCCTTGACCATGTTTTTTATCATCTTGATATTCTCCAATGTAAACTCTACCATCACTCCATGAGAATAGACCAGTTCCATGCATTTTGTTGTTCAACCATTCTCCACAATACTTTCTGCCATCTGGCCATACGTATCTACCCACTCCATTTATTTGATTGTTTAAGAACTAGCCACAATAAGATGCTTTATCTGCCCAAACTAGTATTGAATTATTAATGATAAAAAAATACCAAATCTGCCTTTTCCATGCTTGACTCCATTGCTGTACTCACCTTCATGTTTGGCTCCATCTGGCCATATTTCTACACCTTGACCATTTTGCAAGTCGTTATTCCAACTGCCTTCATATCTAGCCCCATCTGAGTGGATATATACACCTTATCCTTTTGATTTATGATCTTCCCAATCCTATTAAATAGTTTAATGTGATTATGTACTCCATCATATATGTCTCCGTTTGCATGATACAATCTCCCTTTACCATTTGCCATATCTCTAATCCAGAATCCTTCATATATTGAACCATCTTTCCATATTTGTATACCTTTTCCAAATTTCTTGTCTCCTGACCATTCTCCAATGTAAATTGCACCATTCTCTAACAGAACTGCATTTCTAAAGAATCTATTGTCATAAGAGTCACTTTCTGTATCTTAATAGCGATACTCAGAAAATGGGAATGGGGGCATCTAATAAATATTAGTTGATATCTACTTTGCTGAATTTTGACAAGTGTGTCAATGAGAACTACTTCAAAATGTTATTAACTTTCGTATTGTAGAGTTACACTTAGACATAGTGATACTTTTTTCTAACAATCCAGCCTCTCAAGAGTGCTTATATTTTTATTATGCTTTTCAATAGTTTAATTTCTTCATCTTCAATTTGGTTTTCCTTCCTGCTCACTCTCAATCTTTTATCACTTTCAATTTGGTTATGATCAAAACTAACTGTTTTTACACATGCACAATTTGCTTAACCCATATGACGGTTAAATAATTAAATAATTATAATGCTGCTTAATAAAGAATTTTATCTTTATTTTCCAGAGGGTAATTATGTTGCATAAGCATTAGAGCATGAAATATTGATAAAGTTCAAGAAGTACGAAATAAGGAAGTTCTTTGATGGTCAAATTCAATTCACTCAAAATGAAATGCAATCGATCCAATAATTTAAGCAAAAATATTAAGTGCAAAAGGAGGATTCCTTCATTTTAAGAATGCTGTACGCAACCAAATTTAAGTTTGAAAAATGCTTGGAAGCAATTAAAAATTATGATGAATGGAGATAGAGTCTAGATCCTAAAGTGAATCCTATATTATTGGTATTATTTAAAATCATTCCTTAGAAATAAGGAGTGATCTATATGCATGGAAGAGACAACAGATTTCGTCCAATTCTCGTTGTAAATGCTCAGAAAGTTGCAGGAGTTAAAGACTTGGATCTCCTACTCTAATCAATGACCTTATTTCTTGATTATGTCTTATATAATTGTATGTTGCCTGGTCAAATTGAAAGTTGGTAATATATACAACTATTTAGGATTGTCATAATGGATTTAGGAGGACTTGGCATAATGGGGTTGCCAAAACAAGATCTTTATAGGATCATGAATTATCTATCCAGTAATTACAGATCGAGAATGCACAAATGCTATGTCATTAATTGCAACAAAACCCTCAGTATCACTTGGGCTATGATTAAAACATTCCTAGAAGATATCACTGTAAATCTATAAACTGAGATTCTTAGGTCAATAAAATACTCTTTGAGAGTTGTCCTATCTCACTATTGTAATATGCGAATCCATCCCAATTAGAGAAGAAGTACGGAGGAATTGCCAATGACAAGTCGGATAATTTTTGGTAATTTGTATTATATAATTGTAGGCCCCCTCAAGAAATCAGTCCCAATTATCAGATAGCTGTAGACTAAATCAAATTGATAGATTCATTAACATATGTTGAACTATTTAAATAGGGGAAATTGATTAAGAATCTAGTTTGCCAAGAATTAATCAAGCTCTAGTAACTTTAATAAAATAGCGAACAAATCAAACAACAACAAAAGTCTGAAGATGACTTTCAATCTTGCGAAGAAGACAATGATTTATGATGATGTACCAAATTATATTCTTTGCAATTTTTTAGTTTATAGAATGATTGATCTATTTTTATTTTTCGTTTATTTATTTATCAGATATGCGCTGCAAAATGTGATCACCATATTGGTATATTCCTTCGTCATTGTTTTCCTTAGCTACTTCAATTTATTCCAATCATTTAACCATCCTAAACAATATATTTTTAAATTATTAGTTATATTTAACTAAAAATGCAAAAAGGAGAATAACCTAAAACCACAGGCTGTTTGTGTTTCAGTAGATAAAATAAATCTGAATTTCCAAAAACCTTTAAGAAATCAAATAAAATACTCAAGAAATACACTAAGAACAATTCTGATGTATATTTTCCTAATTCCTTTAGATTTCAGATGATGCCATTTTGGAAGTCATGATTCGTCTATACATTTCAGATAATAAAACAAAGGCCATAGAGATGCTCCAACGATGTCGTATCAACCCCAATTTTTAAATGAATCTCATACGAAATGATCTGGAGTATTATATCCCGCAGCTTATAAATTTTATGGTTTTCCATCAACAGTTATAGGATGATCGGTTGATCGAATTCATAATTAAGGCTTCTTCAATTGATTTCTTTTTTGCTCATCTTGTTTATTTTTAGCTGATAAGCCTTTCAAAAATTATATCTCCCAATAACAAGGTCGAATTCAAGATTGTTTAGCAGTTCGTTAAGGAATTTGAGGATAAAATGACCACGAATTATTAAGGTAATCTATTGATAGCCACATAATTGCTAAAGATTCATTTGGAAGATTCATTCAAAGATGATGTCTTAGTGAAATCAATCATGTTATCGAACAAAAAGGATAAGCAAGAACAAGCAGTTTATTAGGGATCAATAAGAATTAAGTCTTGGAAGCAAAATGAAATTGTTTAAATTTATGGAACTGAAGATTGGACAGATTACATCAAAGAGAAAAACCTTGAGGATTGTTTGGTAACCAAGCATGAGGAAATAGAGCTCTAAGATTATGTTTCCATCTTTTAGAATAAGGAAGACAATAATTTATAAGAGGATCTTGCATTTTAATCAAATATCAATTTTTGGAATGACATTACTAAAATTTCTGAAGAGCTTTCAAAACACCAGAAAAAAACTGAGTAGTTACATCGATTCTTAAATAAAATCAACCAAAATCTACCAGCTGCTGTGTATGTTCCCTTTGTTAAGAATTCCGTCAGAAATTACGCTATCCTAAATGTTGTTTCTAAAGAAAGTCGAGTATTTTCAACCAAAATGAGAAGTCCTTATAGTTTGACTTTAGAAATATTTAGACCTGAAATAGAAGGTCATTATAATGAATAACAACTGCTCGACACACAAATTTCTAAACCCATCAAGATTAACGTATTTATTTTTTCAATTTTCATAGATGATTAAATCCAAATCAATTTCATAAAGCCAAATTGTAATGTAAAATCAAAGCAATACCAATATTTAATTACAAAGAACATTCTCTATAGCAGATGCTGAAATGTCATTCCACAATGAATTTCAAACAATGAAATAGTATGAGGCAAAAGTAGATGGTTCATACGAAAATAATAATGGGATTGGACAATTCTATAGAAATAGACTAGAGAGCAATAAAAATGAATCAGATACAGATGAAATGGTCGATTAATAATAAATTAAACAACCTAATTAATAATTGGCCTTTAGTTTGGAAGACTAATATTCTCAATCCTAAACTCAATTGTAGAATTCTAAGATGGATCAAAGCACTCTAAACTCTAGAGTAAGCTACCTTTAGAATGGCAAAGGCGTAATTTTGACAGAGGGTGAGTATTTAGAAATCAAAAAAACAATATTTGGAGAGAATTCAACTTCATAATAGGAAAGAATCAAGAAATCATCTCCATTTTAAAAATTGAAATCCTGGTAGTTAGTTCATTTAATTATCAAGGCTGGGGATAATTTGAAACAAGAACAATTTGCATTACAATTAATCTGTTAGTTTGATTAAATATTTAAAAAGGAAGGCTTACCTTTATAATTAAGATATTATGAAGTTTTATCTTTGGGACCTGATTGCGGAATGATTGAAATGATAAAAAATGCTACTACAATTGATAGTTTACAAAAAAATTTATAAACCAAATATACTTAATTCTCGGATTTTTCAGACTTTTTTAGATCTTTTTTTAGAGATAATATCGAATAAGCATTACAGAATTATGTTCAATCACTTGTTGCATATGGTCTAGTGTGTTATTTTTTATAAGTCAAAGATAGACATAATGGCAATATATTATTGGATGATCAAGGCCATTTAATTCATATAGATTTTGGGTTCTTTTTATCTATAGCACCAGGGAAAGGCATGGAATTTGAAGGAAAAGTCCCTTTTAAATTATTGTCTGACTATATTAAGGTTTTGGGTGGAGTAAAAGGGTACTTGTTTTAGGACCACTTTAGAAAACTATTCTATAAGTATTGCATTTAAATTAGGTAGAGGCTTCAAAGCTTGTTAAAAACACTAAAAGGAAATCTTATTATTGGTTGAAATGATGTACACAGGCCACGGAACCACATTGCCTTGTTTCTCAAAAGGAGAATTGGCGTTGAAAGAATTAGAAGACAGATTTAACCCAAGAGTTACCTCTGATGCTGAATTATTTGTATATGTCTAAGGATTAATCAATAAATCTCTTGATAATTGGAGAGCTAAATGGTAATAAAATAATATCATATTTCAGGTACGATAAATTTTAATATTTTGCTTAAGGAATATTTTATTGATTCATTATTGTTTATTTATTTATAATCTAAATATAATATAATTGTTTTAACTTCAAAACAGTGGTTTTATTGTATTTTAGTGATTAACAATTATTTTAACCAAGATCCATATTTGAAGAAAATCAAGTTGAAAGTTGATTAAATGATATCATCTATAATATTGTGTTTTTGTTCAATCAATATTTGCTTTTTAGAGGGTAAGTTCATTTAATTCCTCTATTCGTTTCATTAATTATAATTAATAATCTTGAATCATATTTGAATTACATCGTAAAACATTCATTTTTCAGTTTTAAATTACAATCACATATTCAATCATTGCATTGATAGAAATTAAACTTAGGGTCAAATCTCTCAATAAAAATTAATTAAATAAAATTTTATAAATTTAATAAATACTATAGTACTTGAAATATTTTTCAATTTTTAATGATCAAATTTATCTCTATATGAAATTATTCTAAGATAGAAATATGTTGTTTTATTCTCCATCAATTATTTAATAGGCTTGCCAAGAAAAATGAAATTCTATTTAATAGATTTCAAAAATTTTCATTTTTTTAAAGTTTGATGCATAAATAGTTGAGTCTTAAAATTAGAAACACCTGAAGTTGAATTATTATTAATTATATTTAAATAGCTAAAGTTAAAAATAATCTATATATCAACCATGTGAGAAAATAAATACAGATTTTTAAATTAGAATTAATTATATATGTTTGCTTAATTTAATAAATTGGATATATCTATCAAATATAACTGTAAATTTTCAATTAAATGATTTCCATTACTATTACTATTACTATTACTAGTTATAATTATAATTATTTTATTATGGTGTTTAATACATTGACATTGATAGTTCATTGTAATTGAAAGTATGTCTTAAACATTAGGGGCAAAATCCATTTATTTATTGCATATACCTTAAATTTTAGTTCCAAATGCAAAAGAATTGACAACTTTAAGTTGAACATTTTACTAATTTTTCCTGAGATATGAACTACCTTCTCTTTAGATTATTAAAAAGCTGCCAAAGGTCTTGTGAATTTTTTGTTTCTAAGTACTGTTTCCCATATTCAAACAATAAGCACAGCTTTGATTAAATAGGTAATATGCACTGATTGCATAAAGCTTTTGATTTGCTTGTAATTGCCTAACTTAGTTAGGCTGATATGTAAGAAATATCTATTAAATGGCCACACTTATTTCTATAAACTTTAGATTAATAGTCTTATATTAATAATATTTAAAATACTATATTAAGACTAGGATATCTATGAACTTGAGAGAGAAATCTATTCTTTTGTTTTTTCTTAAGGATTTATTTCTTAAGCCCTTAATTTTTGTTGGTTATTATAGTAAACTTTCGATTCATCAATTTATTGTTACTGTTTAGCTTACGATTCTATAAAATTTCTTTAAAAGGTATTATTTTCATTTTTTAACCTTTAATTTTCATTCTTTAATTTTTCATTTTCATCTTTTAATTTATCATTCTCTTCTTTAAGTTTAGAATTATTATATTAAAACTATTGGCTAAATAAGATTTATCTTATAAATTTTACATACTCTATTAAGATTCTGACTTTATCTTTTCCATTTGATTTTATAAATCCCTTATCGTCCCTTCATACGTTTTTATTTTAGAACTAGTAAATTATATCATTTTTACTTAAGATTAATGACTTGTTGTTTTAAGTCTTAGTTCTATTAATCTATTTATTATTTCTCTTTTTATAACAAAAAAGGATCTTAAAATGATAATTAGGATTGAATTTAATTCGAATAAATCTGAGATTAAGATTAATACCTTTATAGATAAATAAAATACTTTAGATTGTCAGCTGCAAATGCATTTGATTATTTATTTTAAGTATTTGTTAAATTCTATGGCCTTGAAACCTAAGTAAGGTTTTCTTCTGCTTTTATTAGTATCTTTTTAGCATAATTGTTTTAAGTAGGTCCATATCCTTATTAATTCTTTGTAATACCAATTTAGTCTTGTTAATTTTGATTATTTATTGGTTTACCAAATTAATATTCTCCTTGTGTGGTGGTTTGTTATTGAATGTTAATATTGTTATTCCTGTTTTTAATCTCATTAATTTAGATTTCATTCTAATATTACTAAGATTTTTATAACTAATATGAAGAATTTTTTTGACACAAAACCTTTTTATAATAAAAAGTTCTAGTGGGTAATATTTTGAGAATGTTCATTACAAAAGTATTTGGACTTCCATCAAATTATTTATCCTTTTCCAAAAACAATTAAATGTCATAATTTTCATCGATATTTTACTTAATCTAATTCAAAAGATCCCCAATTATAGTATTCGATTAAACTATAAAACTTCTTTATGACTAATTTTAAGGTTTATCTAAATCATATAAAGCAATCATTGTTCTTTCTGGAGATAATACCCTTTTCATTTCTATTAAATAAAATTAATTGATTATTTGTAATAAAATTAATAAGTTTGATTTACAAATAAAAATTATATTTAACGAGATTTTTTCAATCATCTAATGATCAATTTTATCTTATTGTTCTAAATCATTTCATTAGGAATGCTTTTAATTAATAATATAAAAATTCATAAAGTCTAATAATTATAAAATAAACTAAAAAAGACTTTATTTTAACTAATTAAGTAAATAGACATCTCTTTATAAATTTTAAGCTTTGCATTTTTAAAGTTCAAATTTTGATTCATTTCACCTTTGGATAAATTATAAACAACATTTCTCTTTCTCAATATTAAAAAGTAATCTTGTTATGATGGTAACTTGTAAATTAACATTTTATGTGTGTTTTATATTAGTGTAATTTTATGAATCATTTGCTTTAAATATAACATGTTGATTAAAATATCGAACTATCATTCTAATTTCAATTTATAAGTCAATAAGTTCCTTTAGATAACTTCCCTAATCTCAATATCAATTTCATAATGAAAATTGCTTTTAACTATTATATTTTTGTAACACCCTCCCTTATATCATCAATACTAATATGAATTTATCAATACCCCTTCTTTGAGATATATTTTATAAATTTATAAATATATTGAATATTAATGAACAATCATGTTCTTGTTTTTAGAATTAACATTTTTTTATTACAGTTTTAAAATGTTTGATTATAAAATAATATTCTCCTCCATCTTTATCCTTTATTATGGAGGATTTATATCAAATATTACATATCAATTAAAATATTATAATTATTCAAAGTATAATGATTTAATTCAAGAGAATATTAAAAATCTTAAATTACATATAAGATCTATATTAATAATGAAATACACATTTAATCATTAATAATTGTCGCTACTCTTTTATGAATGATAATCTTTAAATAATTTCATAATCTCCTCCTCCTTAAGAATCATAAATAATTGTAACAAAATTTTTTCTTCAATAAATTTTAATTAACTTATCCTATGTTATTATTTTAAAGAAAATACTAATATAAAATATAAATTCTATATGTTTATTAATTACTTTAAATTATATTTTAACAATGATAATAATAATTATAAGGATTATAAAGAGAGATATGAGNTGTCATAATTTTCATCGATATTTTACTTAATCTAATTCAAAAGATCCCCAATTATAGTATTCGATTAAACTATAAAACTTCTTTATGACTAATTTTAAGGTTTATCTAAATCATATAAAGCAATCATTGTTCTTTCTGGAGATAATACCCTTTTCATTTCTATTAAATAAAATTAATTGATTATTTGTAATAAAATTAATAAGTTTGATTTACAAATAAAAATTATATTTAACGAGATTTTTTCAATCATCTAATGATCAATTTTATCTTATTGTTCTAAATCATTTCATTAGGAATGCTTTTAATTAATAATATAAAAATTCATAAAGTCTAATAATTATAAAATAAACTAAAAAAGACTTTATTTTAACTAATTAAGTAAATAGACATCTCTTTATAAATTTTAAGCTTTGCATTTTTAAAGTTCAAATTTTGATTCATTTCACCTTTGGATAAATTATAAACAACATTTCTCTTTCTCAATATTAAAAAGTAATCTTGTTATGATGGTAACTTGTAAATTAACATTTTATGTGTGTTTTATATTAGTGTAATTTTATGAATCATTTGCTTTAAATATAACATGTTGATTAAAATATCGAACTATCATTCTAATTTCAATTTATAAGTCAATAAGTTCCTTTAGATAACTTCCCTAATCTCAATATCAATTTCATAATGAAAATTGCTTTTAACTATTATATTTTTGTAACACCCTCCCTTATATCATCAATACTAATATGAATTTATCAATACCCCTTCTTTGAGATATATTTTATAAATTTATAAATATATTGAATATTAATGAACAATCATGTTCTTGTTTTTAGAATTAACATTTTTTTATTACAGTTTTAAAATGTTTGATTATAAAATAATATTCTCCTCCATCTTTATCCTTTATTATGGAGGATTTATATCAAATATTACATATCAATTAAAATATTATAATTATTCAAAGTATAATGATTTAATTCAAGAGAATATTAAAAATCTTAAATTACATATAAGATCTATATTAATAATGAAATACACATTTAATCATTAATAATTGTCGCTACTCTTTTATGAATGATAATCTTTAAATAATTTCATAATCTCCTCCTCCTTAAGAATCATAAATAATTGTAACAAAATTTTTTCTTCAATAAATTTTAATTAACTTATCCTATGTTATTATTTTAAAGAAAATACTAATATAAAATATAAATTCTATATGTTTATTAATTACTTTAAATTATATTTTAACAATGATAATAATAATTATAAGGATTATAAAGAGAGATATGAGATATAAATATCGTTGTCGGCCATACTAAGCCTAAAGCACCGGATCCCATTCGAACTCCGAAGTTAAGCGGCTTAAGGCGAGGTTAGTACTAAGGTGGGGGACCGCTTGGGAAGTCCTCGTGTTGACAACCCTTTTTTTATTATTTCTTCTCTATTATGTTTCTGCATTACTGCAGCTACCAGATATTTAGATTTGTAATAGATATTAATTATTAATACAATGACACTTAAAATTTAATCAAGAATATTAAAATTGCATTTTTTATTACTTTTGTAATTTTGTTCTTGATTTCCAATCATTAGAAATTGAAAATTATTAACATTAAGGACAAAAACTAAATATCTTTTAATTATTCAAATTAAATTATTTAGAGAAGATATACTGCTTTTGAGAATTACAAATAGTTTTGTTTTGAAATACATAAAAAAAACTACATCCCTAGGTACTACATTAAGAAAGCACAACCTCCTACTTATCATAAAATTACTATTTAATTATTTCTAATTATCTTTTGCAAGCTTATTCAACGTATTAAAGTCCGTAAGATTAAACTTACTAAAAGAACTTTAATGATATAAAAATTTGGCATTATGGGCATTTAGCGAAATTCCTTCTAATTAGCGCATCAGAAGCTAATCCTAATAATCTTTATTTTGATAGTTCATGTCCACAATTAACCTTGTAAGGTAAATTTTAATTATCATCCATAATAAATGCAACTCTCGAATTACAGGAAATACAAAATCCTTAAAGTAATTAATTTTTTTTAGAATCCCATATAGTATAAAAATTACAATCAGATCCTGTGCACTTGGCAATTCTTAATTATGTATTCTTCAGTATTGACTGCTTCAAAAGTTAAATATCGATTTCTAATTTTAGATTAATATAGTATTTAGATTTATCGAAGCATTTAATGAGTTTATAATCTAACTCCGATTTGCATTCACTACAACGAGCATGTTATTCAATTTTAATTGCATTTTAAACTATTTTCATGATATCATAACAGGTTAAAGTGTGACCACATTACAAAGTTAACTTTTTCTAAATAAAATCAGCTTTTACACTAAACTTGTCACAGTTTGGGCAATAATAATTTTAATTATGAAAATTAGTCACAATACAAAAATAATTACAATTTTAACCTTCGTTTTAACACTTGAAAAATAAGTATTTAGTATTATTTTAAATTATTTATTAAAGTTAATTAGAAAGCTTTAGTTCTTTTTCTTAAGGTAATTAATTTTCATTAATATTGTTTTGATTTTAATTAATACTTTAAGAATCCACTATCTCCTTAAGGCATTGAACATTTGGACCTGGATTTGGACTTGAAACATGCCTAATCTAATCTATTCTGTTTTCCTTTGGTCTTTATTATTGGTTATTTAACTCTTAGTGATCAGGTTTAGAACTTTTAATTCTAAATTGGTTAGCATCACAAGACTATTTTTATCTTTATTGATTATCAGGATTTTAATCAATTTCTGTCTGGTAATTTATTTTTCTACCAGAATAAAAATTCTACAATGATTCTTAATTATTATCTCCATTCTCACAATTATTTTAAGGAATTTAGAAATCCTATGGCTATGAATGAAAATTTTCTGTTTTAACCTTAAAAGCATTGCTTAATTATTTTTTTAGAAATTATTTGCTTCTCGATTATTTTGTTATGGTCGGCACAGTGTGATTCGAATTCATAAATTAACCTTGAGATTATGGTTCCTATGAATTGATTGGAGATGTTATTTCATTTATTTATTGTTTTATGGTTTATTCTGGTTGTAGGATAGAAATTTCCTATTAAAGAGTGATTTTGCTATTGCAATATTATTCTTATTACTTATTCGCAATGCCTTCAATTTAATTCTATTATTGATATTGGATATTAGTTATTTAATTTTCATTTTGAGCGTTTTATAAAGTCTGTTTTATGCAATTATTTGTTGTTTGTTAGGTTATTTATGGTTTAGGAGGTCTTGCATTAGATTAGGTTTGTTAAAAAAACATGCCTTGACTTTGTTAAAGTTGTTATTATTTATCAAAGATTAATTATTTTTCATTTTTATTTTAAGGTGGAGTTTGTTAAATAAATGATTTTGTTTATTAGGAGATTAGATCTAGATAACTTTTTTATTAATTAAGCGGAGGCAATTGCTTTGGTTAATCCTTGTTCATATTTCTTTCTTAACTATTTAAATTTCTTCGTAAGCATATCGTCTTCTTTGATTATGAGAGAGGGGAAGCTTAAATACTAATTTTATTTGTACTCATAAAATTATTAATAATAAAATTTTATATATTTTAATAGAAAATTCTTACTTGAGCCTATTTTAAAGATAAAGAATTTCTCTTGGCCTCCTAATTTATCATGTTTTGAAAGAATTGAGATATGATCATTACTTAATAGAATATTTTATTCAAATTTATATATTTCATTATTTATAATAGATATTTAAATGAATAATAATTAGAGTTAGTTTAGAATTTAGACAAGATCAGTATCTGCTGAAAGAATAATGATTATATTGTAAAGTTTAGATTAAGTTGTTCCTTAATTATAACAAAAAACAATGAGAATAGATAATGCAACAACATTTTTGGACATTAAATAAGTAATATAGAGTAGTCTTGAAACACAAGAGAATATCGAATTATATTTTTAGATGGATCAACCGTATACTGGAAATTTGAATGAGTTAGCTCTGAACAAAATTAAATAAGACAAAATAAAAACTATATACTATAAAAATATTAGAAGAAATAGGTAACAACCTCATAATCTCATTAGTGACATCTCGCCACACAAAATAATAAGAAAACCATAAGAATAGAGAGCCTAATTGAATGAGAGAAGTCCAAACTACAAGAATCTCGTTTCACCAAATTAAAACAGGATTCAATTCGAAAACCCTGAAAGAAATAATAATAATTAGAGAATTATTTTAAATCGATATAAAAATAGCTAATTTATGAGGTAAGTCTATATTGATTATCCTAAGAAATTCTTAAGATTTGGGTAAAGTATAGCAGGCTGAATTTTAAAAATAAAGTCAAGAGTGGGTTAATGAAAAAAAATTACTGCTTAAGCAACTCAGAATGAATAGCTTAAAAATGTAAGATTTAGAATAAGAAAATACAAGCTTAAGGTTATTATTTTATTAATTAATAAAGCTTATTTAATAAAAAACTTTCTGATGAGCTAGCCCTTTTGAAGTAGAATTTTTCTGAATTTGAAAATCTTCAGCTTGAAAACAACCTAATCAAGTAGTATTCATTTATATGCTAGAGATGAAATCGATAAGGCTAAGCTTTGTCATCAACAGATGCTTATGGAAAACAGTTAATTAAAAGAATAGAATTCTCAACTCCTCAAGTATTAATTTTTATTAAGTAAAGGGAATTGCATAATTTAAATAGTCTCTAATAAGAAAATCAAAGACTTATTCAGATAATAAATGATTCTAGAGAAAAAGCTAATTAAAATTCTTAAAATTAAATATAACGTCCAAATTACTTTAAAATTATATCAATAGATGATGGAAACTCTCTGCAAGATTTAGAATAACAATAGAATTAATAGTAAATATAGAATCTAGCCCAAATGTTGAAAAAAAATATTCCATCAAATTTAGATTCTCAGAATAACAATTTGATAAATATATGTGGCCATGCAATTTCATCATAATAATTAGCAGAAATTATAGTTAAAGCTTTCTTTAATAAACGGAAGGCTTTATGTAACTAGTGTAGTTAACCACTAACATCGAAGCTTTGCTTATAAGATTAGTCTTTAGGAAGAAATTACATAGAAGAGTAAAACAAATCTGATTGTTCAAAATTAATAAACTTTATCTACTAAAAGATTAACTCACATTCTTAATCATTGGCAAAATGTAAAAATTAAAATTGTAATTTTTTTTGCATATGGTAACATGATTAGCAAAACTAATAAGAGAGAAACTTTTGCTCAATTTGTTTAAAACAAAGTGTGATCAACCCTTTTCTACCAGATTAAGTTTTATAAGAAATCAGTTAAAGATTGTGAATAAAACTAAAGATATTTCAGACTTTATGATTTATAAAGCGAATTTTTATATTTTAAGATCTTCTTTTAAATATATGAAAGAAACAAAAACCAGCAAAAGGCTTGAAAGAAAAATTAATTATAAATTTTAATTGTATAGACTATCATGATTTTAATCTTTGAATCTTCTCCAAGTATTATCTCTTTATTTTTTTCTTAACATTTTAATCTTATTAATGATATGAGCTGTTTTAAGAAAAATGAGAGAATTAAAAATAAGAGTGATGCTTTCATAGTGATATTTTATCAAATTTTTTTAATTAGACAATATTGATATCTATGAAAAGTTTACAATTATAGTGTGCTTAAATTCAAAAAGTAAGTTCACCCTGGCTTGCTTTAACTTAACTTTTTAAGCGAATATAGTCATTTAAAAAGGTTGAAATAACAGTAAATGGATCCTAAAAATCACTAAATAAAGAATAACCAAGAAAGTTGCACTCTAGAGTGAAGAATAAAGTAATTTAAATAAATAGTTTATGTAAATATTCTTAAAATCTAAGCAGTCAATTACCGATATAATAAAAGAATAGCTAATTATAGAATTAATATAATAAGAGCTTGGAAGAAAGATATATAAATGAATAACACAAGTTGAACTTATACATATTAATCATACATCTAAATCACAATCTTCTTATTAAGAGTCTAATAATATTTATTCTTTTATTTAACATTTCATCCTATGTATTTAAACATTAGTCTAATAAAATGCTTAAAATTATTTTCATCTTCAATTTAAAAGCGTCGTCAGATTTCACAACATTTCTTATAAATTCTTAAGATATATTCATTATAAGAAATTCAGGATTTTCAAAGTTATTTGTTAATTGTAGATCATACAATTTTAATCCAAATTTAAATTATAGCTTAATTAATTCTTATACTAAACATTCTTAGTAGTGTTAAAATGAAAAATTATTTAAGAAATCTTTGAATATATCATCAAAGTATGGATTATTGATATGATTGTTTATAACTTATTTAATTATTGGTAGAAATGTGTCTTAGTAATTGAACTTTTCAAATATTAAATATAAGGCATTTTATTTTTCTTCCAGTGGTTATGAATTTTCATTAAAAAGTTTTTATAATAAGACTTCAGGTAATAGATCTGGAGAGGTGCCTAATGAGAATTTTTCAATATTTTGAACAAAGGTCATAACTAAAATTAGAAGATTCCATACTTTTCCTAAAATTGTTTGTAGAAAGTATTATTCCTTAAAATTTAGATTTGTAAATATCTTAAAATTCCTACTCAGATTCAGTATCTTTCATTACATTTGTAATTTCCTCAAAAAAATATAAGATTTCATTTTCAAATGTTATATCATTTGGAATATCTTCAAGAATGGTCTTGATCAACTAAAATTTACTTTTCTAAATTCTAATAATATTAATATTGTACCTATATTTCATATTCTGATCGAAGGTAATCCTTTTCTTTATTTTCAAAATATAAATATAGAAAGTAAGTTAGATGCAAATCATATTTGAGTAAACAATTAATAAGGTGTACATTTTATGATGCTAATACAATTTCTCCGAATAATTGCACAAGATGATTATTCTCTTCTTCAATAGAGAATTTTAATTATCTTAACATCTTTGTCATGTCTTAAGGCTTAATTCTATAATCATAAAACTAAACATATAGCATAACAAATGAGATCCAATCAGATTTAGATACTTCTAAAATCGATTCTATATCACCTAATAAAATTTTATTGATTTTATTTAATATAGAATCATCATATTGCTTTAAGTTTTCTTTTACTCTTCTAAGACTTTCTTCTTATTATATTGAATCAATTTTTGGAAAAAAGTTGTGCTTTTTAATCGCTTCGAAAGCATTGCGGGATAAATTTTATTCAAACTTCTAGATACATTCATGAACTTAACCATTTCTTAATAAATCAAGAGGCGCTTTTGAATTACATTCTTTATGTTGCTATACCCATTGCTTAAATCTATGTCCCAAAAATTCTTTATTATTTTACCAAATCTTAATCAAAAACAAAATTAAGTAACGATCATTTTATTCATTCTATCTACAAGATCTAATCATATCTTCTAAATAGTATTCATCAAACTTATTTTGATGTTTTTTTGCTATTTCGATAAGATGAAGTAAACTTTAATTCATAATTTTAAACAATAATAAAAATTCTTAAAAATTAATTAAGAAAGTCTTTCTAAATTTTTGGTTATAATTTATATAAATATCATTCTGGATCTATTATAAGTATGTATTCTGCTATTTTTATGACTCTCCTTCTACACAAAGGCACACTCTAAGATTAAACCCCAGATTTACTTAGTCTCATCCAAGTTCTAATTCACTCTAAAATAATACCCACTAGATGTTTTTTAATCCTCTATACTGACACCCTCACTAGTGAATTCTAGCAAAGCATGATCGAATGCCATAGTTTAATCCCCAAAAGTTTAAGCTCCTATCATTTTTGATTTCCCAATCTGTAAAGTAAATTAGACTGATCCCATTTGAGAAGCTAAGACAATATGGCATTCTAAACGATTAAAATATATATTCTTTTACATTAACCATTTTGCTAAAGACTTTATATAACTACTTCAGTTGCTCCCATTTAGATGATATATCCTTACACGATTTATGTTTTTGTTTCTAATAGAATGAATGTTCCTATTAAGCTCCCTCTATCCTATAAGTAAAATTACTTTTCTTTAAATGTGAGCTAAACTAAAAAATTAGATTACCCAAACATGAGTTCTGCTGACAGATTCATGATTTAATTAAATGTCATTTTCTGGATTTCTTCCTATTGTAGCATTTTTAGTAATTAACTTGTTTATGGTTGCTAAACCTTCTTTTTTTATTTTGATGTTTAATTAACTATTTTTTTATGCATTCGGTGATTTAATTAAATGTTATTGTTATTATTATTGTTATTATTGTTATTATTGTTATTGTTGTTATTATTGTTAATTATTTTACTGAATTTCCTCAGAGTCTTTCTTTTCTTATTTATCAAATCTAGGAGTACCAAATTAAGGTAAATGATAATCAGATTCTTGTGATTGTTATTTTTTCTGAGGACTCAATAAAATTGGCCTTTAAATTGGTTAAATTTATAATTCAGCAAATATGTTCTAATATTAAAATTAAGCTCACTTTTTTATTGCTTTATTACACTTATCTTGCTAAGTCTTCCTCTGTTATTTTCGATTGAGATTTTGGTGCAGGCAAGATAAACTACTGTTTTTGTCTCCCTCCAGGTGATGGAAGTGGCTCTATCGGGATCTATCCCATGGTTGTTTTTTCATCTATTTCAATGTCATATTCATGTCTGGATTATAATATTCTATCTTGAATGACTTTCAAAGGTAACCTATCTTGTTGTTGTATTTCAACCCTTGGCGATGGAATTTATTGAACTTCCATGAAATTTTGAACTACTTGAGGAGTAACTTCGCTTCTTGTATGGGATTTACAATAAATTGTAAATTCTTTCAATCCAATTTGGATCCCTATATGCCATTTAAGAAAACACTTACATTGCAAAAGTTTCTTTCTCTATAATGGAGATGAGATTCCTATGTCTAATAGATCTTAATCTGTTAAGATCTCCAAACATGAACCATCGACACATTCATTTACTATGATCGTATTTATATTCTTACCAAAATAGGTATCTAATTAACTATATCCGATATATTTTAACCAGACTAGAACTTCTTAGGTAGTCCATTTTTTAGGGGGCTTAGGTAATAAGCGAAACAAATCATCATAATCCATAGATCGTTAAAATACAAAAAATTGAATATAATTATTACATAATATAATAAAAGTAATAAAGTTTGATAAAACAAATAATGTTTCAAATAAGTAACTATTCTTCAAGAAGTTAAGTTAACTAATTTACTAAATTAGGGTCGAGTCTATTATCTTTGATAAACTTCTCTGCTAATTTTCTTGGTTGATCTCCTGGGTAAATTGCTATCTTTTTGGTAGCATTGTTCTCTAAGGCTACGTTGATATACATTATTGGTTATTAAATTAATTTGCTTATCTCTTCCTGATAAAGTTATTGTTCAATATTTTTTCTTTTTTTTTAATAACAAGTTCCTTAAGAAATGATTATCTGATTCAATTATTTTTCAACTCTCCCTTTCACCATTCTCTTAATAGCTTCTCTTTATTCAGGTAATGGAATCAAATCATTCATTGAGGACAGCTGGGATTTATTTAAGTTTGGTTGGAATGTAGGAGTTTCTTCCTTTTTTGGAGAAAGTACTTTCTTCTTATTCAAATGATACCTGGGGCTAGTTTAAGTTGAATTGATTTTGGGTGAAAAAGGACATTACTATTTGATATTAGTATCAATTTCCTATTTTAATTATTCCTTCTTCATTTGATAATAGTGATCATAGTCATTCAAATTGATTGGCTTAGTTTCAGTTATCTAAGATTGTACTCGTGCTCTATATTTATTAGCTAATTCATTAGTTTATGAGTTAGATTTATTTTGTGATTGGAATTGTTAATTCTGGTCTTGTTCCTAAAGCTTTTTGTTTTGTTTTTTATATGCTAAATAATTTAAATATAATTGATTAAACTATTTGGATATTACTTCTTAATTCTAAATAATTACATTCCCATCTTCAAATTCAACCAGATCATTTTTGTATTGTTTTGGAAATTGAATACTATAATTATTATTGTATTTAGGTAACAATTAGAAGTCCACATGAAACCCTTGCATTGCTAACAGGAAAGTTAATAAATTTCTAGACAATATGAGGTCTAAATCATCGGGACATTATAACACTCTGAATATTCTGAAAACAATATTGTCTTGATTTGTATGATCATAAGTTTAATATGGAGCAAATCCAAGATTATCCAATGTTATTGCAAGTTCATCTATTGTCAATAAACACAGATCATTTTCTATTTCAAATTTAAAGTCGATTTTATTTAGATTCTCATCCAAATGATCCAAAGTCCAAATTCTGGCATTAGTTATACTTTCATAGAATTGTTTGACAAAATGTCTAACTAAATGTTTTTCTGATCGTTATGTTTAACTCGCAGTTTTTGGAGATGCAACTAGAATCTCTTGGTAATTAAACTTAAATTTCTTTGGTTAAAAAGCTTCTTCGTAAAGTCGATTGCTAACAGCCTCCACTCTTTCAGGAGTATGCCTTTAAGAAGTCCTTGTTGATTGTGGTTGTAACTGAAAAGACTGGGGAGTTTGACGACTTTCTTTTTATTTTGATAGCCTATCCCATACATTTTATGGATTGTTCTCTTTATTACTTTTCCTGCTAGATTGTTTGATTTCTTTAGTTTAGGGGAGGAATGTTTATGTTTAAAATGATTTTGGTGACATATAACGAGGAGAAGAGCCAAAATAGGATCCAATTTACTTACTCTTATTACTGATCGATGGTTAGAATGAACATTATTATAATTCTAACTATTAATAATTCACCTTCAATAATTCTTTCTTTTGTTGCAATTCATTGTATTCCTCATTTAATCTTAAATGGATATTTGTTCTCCATTTAAGATGTCTTTGTTCTGGTTTGCTTGTTTCGGCTTTGCGAATCAATTCTTCATACAGATCCTAATGTTTGTAAAGTTATGGTTTGAAGGATGAATGAGATTGAACAGTTTCCATTAAGTTTTAGTTAGTGTATAGCGGATACTTGTATTCATCAACAGATTAATCTGTAAGGGGATTTATAGGTATATCACCTTTTGGTAATTATTTCATTGAATCGTTAATAATTTTATAATCGGAAATTTTATTAATAAAAATTAATAATTGAAAATCTTACAAATCAATCGACATTACACCTATTGGCATAATATTATTAAGAATATTGATTATAAGAATGATCTTTGTTTTTAGCTGGTTAATATTATTGATAAAAGAAATATTTCTAAATTACTAAATTTAAGAAATTTATATTCATATATTTATATAAATATAAATACTTTTTGATATAAATGATGATAATTTTTATCTTTTTGTATCGACTCTTTGGATTCTCTAATAAATAAATATGAAACTATATTTCCCTCAAATAGAATTGAGATTATTTTTCAAACCTGAATCTTTAAGTCATTAACATTGTGAATTTGTTTCTATCAAATTGGAAACATCAGAATTAAGAAACCTAACGACTATATTTGTACTTAAGCAATATATTCTAATCATTCTAAAGTTAATGAATAGTATTGGCATTCTAAATATAGTAAATAAGGAAAAGAAGAAGGTTAATAGAAAATAATAAGTTTAGGTTTCCTTTATTTTATGAATCAATGAACAAGATACACTTTTATGGAAAATTACTTTTATGATATGTTACTCATAATAATTAATGAGATTTATTTGGTTTTCAGTTAATTTCAAAGGATGATTAACCTACATAATCCTCATTTTAACAGTTCCAAAATATATAGTTTAATTTATATTAGAATTAAATAACACTTAACATATATGATTTTAAGGTTTAACTCAGAGGAAAAAGTATTAAAAATTATGAGTTTGAATGAATTTACAAAATTGGAATGCTTCTATTAAAATTAAGATCTCAGAACAAGATGGAGAGGAGAAATCAGAGGAGAGGAAAAATCTTTAGAATATTTGGGGAACAAATAAGAAACATCAAAGTAAATGACTCACAACCGAGAGCCACCAAGAAAAACTAAAATAAATGTACTTAGTAGTCTATTGAGAGAATATATGATTTTTTCTATAAGGGTAAAATTTGATTACTTTGATAAATAAAATTTTTGTTTAATGAATAAGCCTCTTTTGGATGACAAGAGTTCTATGGAATTTAGCATTAGAGAGAGTGCAAGAAATAAATCACAAATCTTGTATGACATTCCGCCCATTGCTTAAATTTAACTTTTTGATGTTAGTCAGGATTTTGATCCTCTATTCGAGAATTACATTCCTTAGTAAATGCTGTCGAAAGAAATCTAAATGTTCAAAGCAGAACCAAGAATGAACTATTGCTCTAGAATTTTAAATGCCATTCCTGTATTTCATCCAGAATCAAGTGGATTATTGATTTGGCAACTCGTTGTCGTAATCATAATTTTCACTTACCTATTCTATATTCCTTTTAAGGTATTTAATTATTGATATTTTAGATAGCTTTCACTGATGAGGCAGACGGTCTCAATCCGAATGACACTACTGGAGTGAAGTCTTATTTAATCTTCTCTATTATAATGCTGGGTGCTGACTTGCTGGTTAGCTTTAATTCTGGTATAAAAAAGCAAGGAGAGGTAATATTGGATCGTAGAGTGATAGCAGAAAAGTATGTTGTTTGGGTATTGCATGTAGAATGATATAAATCTTAGGAATTCGAATTAGATTTGATTGGAGTAATATCATTAATGTTGTCATTGCTGCTTAAAAATGATTATATTCGTATTCTATTTTACTTGCGATCGTATTACGTGATAAGATTTAGTGAGAAGATTGATCATTCTTTGCAATTGAGAAGCAGTAATTAAACAAATGTTATTGTAGATTGGAAGGCAGCTTACACAGTGTTAAAATTGATCATCGTTGTTTTGTTCGTCAATCACTTAATGGCTTGCTTTTTCTTTGGTGTTTCTTATAAGGAATTTTAGAGAGACGAGGCAGGAACCTCCAATCTTCCAACTTGGATTGAGTACAATGGTTATGTTGAGAATGACTAGACCATTCAATCATTGTCATATTGGTCCAGGTATGTAGTTTCCTTTTATTGGGCCACCACAACTGTGTCCACGGTTGGTTATGGCGATATCACTCCCAAGAATGATTACGAAATTGGGATTACACTGATTACTATGAGTAAATGATCAAATTGAAATTAGTTATTGCTGGAATGGTGTTTGCATTCAATGTCGCCTCAATTAGAGATGTCATCGTTGAAATGAATTCCCAGGAAATCAGATACAATAGTTATGAGGCTGTTATCAATCGTTATATGAAGATTAAAAATATTTCTATGGCAACTCAAGCCAGAATTATAGATTATTATCAATACATTTGGTAAGATGAGAAGAATAGAAATAGACCCATAGAACAATTGCTCATCTCTAAACTTGCTCCAGAATTACGACAACAATTGCAATATGAGACTTATATCAATTTCGTTAAATGCAAGATCTTTTGGAATCTCAATTTTTCCGAAATGTTCATTCGCTCCCTTGTTTAATATATGCAAGAAGAAAGCTATGGACCAGGAGAAAATATTCACTTTGATACCCTCAATCCTCAATTGTTGTTTCTGTAGAACGGAGAAATTTTGATTGTACTTTACTTTTCAATAATTAGTATGTAGATACTGCTCACAATTCTATTAATATAAAGACAAGAATTGATTTAGTTAAATCAGGGCAATGTCTAGGCCAACTGTTATTCTTTACTGAGTAAAGATTTAGATACAAGGCACAAACTTAATAATGTTGTAATATGTACAAATTGGCTAAGAGTGATTTCTTAACTGAAATTGTCAACTTCCCCAAGGATTTTGAAATTTATCATCTTCTCATTTCCAAATAATACTCTGAATAGTCTCAACTCTATAATTAACTAGAACTAAAATGTTTCACTTGTCAATCTGAAAATCATTTAGCAGATGAATGTGATGTCACTCACTATTATCCTAAACACATTCTCACTCGAATCAAAGTGAAAGATGATAGATAGAAAAGAGAGGAATTTGAAAGGAAAAAAAGAGCATAATTCAATTCAGTATTCATTTCTAAAAAGGTTTAACTCTCAATCTTTGATTATAACATTAGAGAACGAAAGTTAAAGAGAATATCTATGAAATAATAAATTCAATTTGAAATCATAGAGGAAATAGAAGAAGAAGAAAATCAAGAATAATATCAAGATGACATAGGTGAAATTAAAAATATGCTCAATTTAATAATGAATAAAATGGGTATCAAATAATAATAAGCCTTCAAACCACAAAATGTATTTATTCCATAAAGTAAATTTATTTCAATTATAATCTTTAATAGAACCCAAGTTTGATCCTTATGAAACGTCATTTGAAATTGATCAAGTTAAAAACTACGAACACTTTTATCCAAAATATAACTTGGATAATATAATCAATAGGATATTTTGATTTTTATTTTATGTAAACTTAATTTTCATCAAATATTCAATTCTTTTCAGTATTCTATGTATATAATAACATTGATTCATACAGTTTTGTAACAGTATCAAATAGGGCAGTAGAAGAATAAATAAAGATTCGCAAAATTAAAAATAATTATTAATATTTATTATATTACTATTGAAATATTCTCTTAATTTTTTTAATTCTTTAGAGTTAGTATCAAATCCAAGATACAGACAAAATGAAGAGTTTATAATAACTGAAGATCAAATTCCTGCTGCAATCAGGGTAATCAAAATGAAATTAGAACTTTGAACAGTCAATTAAATATGTATATATAATAATAATAAGAGGAGATTTAAAATTGAGCAGGATGAATGAAAATTAAGTATGATAATAGAAAATTAATAAGATAAATTATTATTATTTTAATTGCAGATTACAATATTATCAATTACTCTAAGTAAAATAATAAATGTTAGAAGAAGTATGATAAAAGGAAAATAAAAATGAGAAGAGTTGCTTAATAGAGATAGAATGAGTTATATTTAATTATTAATAATTTATTAACGAATATAAAATTTTGCTTGTAAATGAAACCTATTAAAATAAAAAATAACGAAAATGAAAATCCATTACTAATAAGATCTAAGTTAAAAAGAATCAATGTATGAGAATAATTTTAGTTTAGATCGCTTCGGAATTATTTGACAAACCTGTACAATTTAACATCTCTCCTTTAAGGTTGAAAGTTGAGAATGACGCACAGTAATACTTGGAAGCGATTAGTGCATTTTAAACAGTCGAAATTTAGAATCCAATTGTAAAAGAAAGAGCTAAAAGTGTTAGTAATTCAATAGATATTTATAATAATAGTGGAAGACACTGATTTTGGGGCGTGGCAAGATTAAAGATACATTTAGCCAAACTCTAATTAATATCGGTAATCTTTTAAAAAGGAATAAAAGAGTTGTTAGTTCAAGATTAGACAGCAATCACCCAAAATTTAACAATAAAATAAAATAACTAATAAGATTATATAATATCCATTGACAGGCTATTTAGAAAGGAATTTAAATCAGTTTTTTTAAAACGACAAATATTTTAAAATTATTTAGAATATGACTGGAGCAACCCATAGAAAAAAAACAAAGAAAATAATTCCAAATAGCACTTAAAATAGCAGAGCATAATCATCATTATCATTTTAACTATGACAAATACTTTATTATTAAATGCTTGTTTTCGATAATAAAGCATTATATATAATATATACATCATTATTAAGTCAATTTGATATGGCTTATTTTCTGTGAAACCATTTTAAAACTTCTTCATCATCATGAAATAGTTTAACTCCCTTGAATTCATCGCAGTCATCAAATTTGTATAATTCAAATGCTTTGTCAACTATGTATTGCTTCGATATTTCCTTTATTTAGGATTCAGTATATTCATATGTTATTTGAGGGAATTATTATTTCAGTTGATTTAGAAATACATCTGATTTCTCAAAAAATTAAAAATAGTCTTTCATTTCTTCTTTACTAAATAAAATCTTTATACATTATTCCTCCAAAACCTTTTATTTGATCTATAAAATAAAATTATTTAATTACTATTCTTATTAATTCTTATCTATCATAATAAATTTAAATATTGTAATAAGACTAAATTAGCTCAGCAACTTGAAATACAATCTTCTCCCAATGCTATTATTCTTAAATAACCAATTTAGGTTAGAAATTAATTCTCCTTTCATTAGCATAGACATTTTTTATTTCTAATATTTTTTTCCAACATAAGTCAAGCACTGCCATATTAAAGCATTATCGATTTGTCAAAATTTTAACTTTCAATTCCGTATTAGAATCTAAATAACTTTTAATATAATCATCATCTATTTTCTAAATAGTAATTTTACATTGTTATTTTGTTTCTTCAGGAGTCATCTCTTATTTATTTTCTTGTTATTGTTTCTCTTCTTTAGAAGAAAAAAGTCTATTTGTAAGCTAAGTTGTTGCATTTTTAATTGAAGAAAAGAAATTTTTCATAAAATTAATATTTTAATTAAATATGATAAATTTAATATTTATGGGGTAATAACATTCTCAATATGAATATGATTGGAAATTTTATATCATATAATCTTTAGATCATAATAATTAGGCCTATTTTAAATAATTAATTATTACTTAATGAATTATTTATTTTTTAAATAATTCATTTAAATGTTAAAATATAATGAAAATATTCATAGAGTAGCCTATTATCCTTTAATTTTCTATGGATAGAGAATAAATTTTTTAATTTTGACTTTAATATTTGATTCTTAAAAATAATACATATGATCAGAATATGATTTAGCTAGTACCATAAAAAAATTTAAATAAAATCAAAAACACTTTAGGTTAAATAAAATATGGTTTTTTTAAGTGTTAATATAAATAATGATAAATGTTTATAATGAATTTAAATGAATTATTTCATTTTAGCAGTGTTTTCTTTCTCTTAAGATCCTTTTAGCTTAAGCCAAATGGGATGTTGAGGCAATCTTCACAAGCGCATTATTCTCCACATATCTAACCTCTCTTAAAGCATTCGCAATACTTTTTTTAACATCCAGTAGATTTGCATTTGCATCCATAACTCATTTATAAAGAGAGTAATTCATTTACTGGCACCTTCTTATCACGATGGCATTTTTTATAAACATGGTTTATGGCTTCATCTCTTTCATCAGCAAACTCAGTACAATTTTTACAATCTTTGCATTAACATTCATCTAAACACATCCTGCCACTATGAAAACAAGCACAATATCTTTTAAGACAATTACTTTGAGAACAATTACATGGTTAGATTTCTAATTCTTTGCTATTTTCAACGTTTCTTTTTAATTTATTTTAATCTTTTTGCTTTTTGTTCCTTGATTTGTCATTCTTTTTATTTGAATTAGGCTCTTGGAATTACTAGGATTGTTGTGTTTATGGAATTTCTGCATCATCTTCAATTTTAATCGGTATTTCAGGGTTGAAAGCTGGAGGTTTATGAATAAATTGAGAAAAATTTGATATGTGCGGAAAGAAAGGATCGTTTTGCATTACAGGATGACAGACAAACCAGCCATTTTATTGATCAATAGGTAGTTATTAAAAATTCGAATGAATTGGCTAGCTTATTTGATAAAGTGAAATTAATACTTATTCTGTTTTATATAGAAGATAGGATAATATTAGACTCTATCTGGATTTTGGAGAGGAGGTAGAGAATACGGTAATGGCTAATGATCCTATTCTAATTTTGGTTGTTGAGAAAATTATGAATTCATTTTGCAAACTAATTAAATCAATTGACTATCGAAATCAATTTAATTCTAATATAAATGAGTGAAGAGAAAATATAAAAAAAGAAAGATGACAAAATTCAAAATTTTAAATTTTATTTGTGCATTATAAAAATATTCATAATTGTTCATTTCAATCTCTGTCAAATAATCTATCCAAAAAGCTCTTTTGTTTGTTCTATTATTGGGCTGGTTATTTGGGACCCTAATAATATAATTATAATGAAAAAATACTTATGTTCTGTCTAATGGTTTGGTTGGGACAGTGTTACCAAGATGTCTTGGGGAAACAGTTTATCCTAAAGGAAGAGTTGTTGTTGGGGCATAAACTGGTGGACGAACAGTCTAAACTGGAATGGATTAGACCAATGGTTATTAATAGACTGGTTGTTGTTAAACAACTTAAACTGGTTATGGTTGAACAACCTGGACTGGTTGTTAGACAACTTAGACAGGTTATTAGACAACTTAGACAGGTTGTTAGACAACTGGTTAGGCAACAACTTATTGGACGGGTTAGACTTGTTAGTGAACAACTTATCTTTCAACTGGATAGTATTCAACTCTTTCTTGATACCTATCAACAGGGACGTATTCTAAATATGGAGTTAATTATTACCTGTGAATTTTTCTTAGTATACTTATGGAACATATTCGGTTTGGTATTCCACTGCATAATAATCTGTAACATATTTTTCTCTTGGCACTTAAATCCTTTATCTGACTTCCTCGTATTCTATGACTGTCTTCTCATATGGGACATATTCAATTCTGCTTTCTCCTTGGATTGGTTATGGTGCAACAACTGGTTGAGCAACGACTGGTTAAGCAACAACTGATTGTGTGACAATTGGTTGTTAGACAACTGGTTAAGCATAGACTGGTTATTGAACAACTGGTTGAGTATACACTGGTTGTTGAACAACTGGTTAAGCATAGACTGGTTGTTGAACAACTGGTGCTTAATAAAGTGGTTGTGAATATCTCAATGGGGATTAGGTAAGAGGAGGTCCATATGCAACTGGAGCAGGAGCATATTATGGAGCGAAACCTGGTTAGAATGTTGGTTATTAGTATGGACCTGGTTATGGAGCTTAGGGTGGGTGTTGAGAGGGTGGAATGTTGCTCATTTTTATTATTTGATAAATAAATTTATTTTGAGATTAAAAAGATATAATTTTTATGAATAAAAATAAATAGCGTCACTTTTTATTTAATTAATAATAATCAATCATGAAGAAATTTATTAATTGTATGTCCAATCCCCTCTTTTGTTCCCTTAAAGAGTTCCATTTTTAAAATAAAATCACTTATCTTTATCTCATCATTGTGTTGGATTTAAATTAAATTAGATTCAATTTTCTATTCTTATTATTCTGCAGTTTGAACACTAATCCAGGTACCATTAGCAGATTCTCTATCTTCTAATCCATCGTTTATTATCCATCCTGGATATCTAATTTAAATTAGTCCCTTACTTTTGAGAATACTTAATTCGACATTACTTTCTTGATATTGTATTGGAATTGATCTTAACATTGTTTTCAGCTCCTCTCCCTACAAAAAAGTCGGTAGTATCTGTCTCACAGTTTCCAACAAATAAGTTTATGGCCTTATTAATATCGACTCCTTGACCCTAGAGTTTAACAACTAGTATGGGTATTTAGTATTCACTTAACTTTTTGTAAAGATCACTAACTGTGAGGTTTTTTATGGAATCAAGAGGTTCAAAAATATTAGCTAAAAGCTAGTTGTCATTCATATGAATTTCATGTTTTTAGGATTGTTTCAAATTAATTAAGTGTTTGATTATGCTAAACCATTCAGAATCTCTTTGTTTTAACTCAGAATTATAAGTATGATTGAACACAATATTAAACCAAGTGGCACTTCCAACGCTAAATTTTTGATCTTTTTAAAGTAAACAAGGCTTCTATTTAAAGATTCGCAAATATGTGCCACACATACTACCGAGATCTTGTATTTAAACTATTTTTGGTTTTCTATTTTAATAGAAATATATTCTACTCTAAAAATTAGCTAATCCTAAACTTTATCATGGATGGCATTTAAATTAGTTGTAACACTTTAGCATGTAATGGATCCAATTTCTAACCCTTTCTGAAATAATCATTGCAAACTATTTTACAATGAATTCTAGATATAACTCTATCTTCTGGTAAGACTATTGAGTTATTAATTATCAATTAATACCTATGTCAATTGGGATGATGTCCTTATTTTACCGAAATAACCTACCAATTAAAATGTCTACAGAATTAGTATTTTTTTGAGAATCTAAAAGTCTAATTATATTGATTAATTGTATACCCGAACTCATTAATAAAATATTCTTGACAGGTGTTCATATTTCGGAGTTAGGTTACTTTGATATGAGGGAGTCTTGGATCAAATTTTTGGTTTTATATTGGGATTGTACGCTTTTGAAGGTATTTCTAAATATTTTAAGGTTTTTCTCTAATTTTTTGAACTCAAAAATACCTAGGGGATGATAATCCCATTTAAATTCTTGGAACTTGAAATAATCTTGAGTTGTCTTCTTCCTCAAATTAAATACTATGATGTCTAAACTGAATCTCATCCAAAAATTCGTAATGGATTTCATTTTCTAATTAGATCAATTACAATATTGGTTCATTATAAATAGGTAAATCTTCTTCAATCAAATCAATTTCATTTTCCTCATCAAAATTACTCATTTATTATAATTAATTAAGTAGAAAATTATAATGTTTAAAGTTAAATAAGAATTGTTAAGATCAAATGTAATATATTAGATATAAGAACCTATTATTATGAAATCAACTTCTTCTCATTCTTCTATCTCTCTTGGGCGGATCCTAAGCTTTTCCAACACAATTATCATCCTAATATGTGTATAAGTTTGGGAATGGCTCCTTCTCTGTAGCTTTTCGATTTTCTTCAGTCAAATCATCTGCAAATTTCTAACTCTATATTTATTAATGTACAGTCAAATGTTTTCTGGCTTAATTGGCAGCAGTTTCCTCTTTTTTCTATCCACCCAAATTAGTTGATGGTAAACAGGCATCTCCAGGTTTCATAGCCAGATTATGTCCAACATCTGATTTAGTTGGTCTCAGTCTATGATGTCTAGCTTAGATGGCTACTATGAGAATCAAAAGCAAAACAAATTTTTTTAACATTATTATATTAAAAACGAAATGTGTTCATACTCAATTATTTAATAAATTAGTGCAACAACTATTAAATTGTCTTATTGATAAAGACATGATTCTCCAAAGTGATGGCACTCTATACATTGGATCTTTTTACCAATAACACTTGGAGGGCTATAGTTTGGTAATCAATCCAGATGGATGTAATACAGATCTAAATATTAGCATATTATTATGGCTTATTTAAGAAATCCAAACCAAAAGATGTAGGTCTGTATAAATTAAAAAACTCCTGTCTTAAGATATTTTGGGGAGAGGATGACTCAATTAAAAAGGTTGAAGACATCAAAAATATAGGCTTCTTGCAAAATATTATAACTTTTAAGAATAATTGTTATGGTAATAAAATACTCATTAAAATTAATCCATTGACTTATGGTGTTGCTAAAAATTAAAAGTATGATGGATTTACAGTCATGCATTATAAAAATGGAGATATTTATTATGGGAGCATAATAAAAGGAAAATAGAATGAAGAAGGCATTCATTATAATAATTATTTTTAGGAATGGTATTGGAATAAGTATGCAAATGGAAAATTAATATCTCACTAACTCTACGGAAAGAATCTTGTACCAAGAGAATTGATAAGTAATAATATAAAATAATTAATTAGGCAAACTCTTTAATAAGTTAAACTATAGGTCTAATTAAATAAACATGGTGTCTCTCTCTAATATACAACAATTAATTATAAATTAGTTGTTACTCAATAATTAATAAAATCATTTATCTTTTGCCTCAACTGTTCAAAGTGCCCATCCTACTCATAGGGAAATTCTCTCATAAATTTTGATTGATGATGAAGATACTAATAATAATGAAGAATTGGAAATTTTGCAAGATTCCAAAATTGAATAAATTGATTAAGAATTACACATCTACAACTAAAATTATTAAAATGATGAAATTGAGGGTAAGTTATCTAAATGTTAAACAGATAAAGCATTGTTAAAAATTGAAAAATAATAAAGACTAAATAATTTTTTGACGCAGCCCTCTCCATCAAAGTCTCCAAAAGATAATAGATAACAAAAAACGACTTCAAGTTCAATGTATTCGACAACAAAAATGACGATATATAAACGATCTGTTTCACCTATTTTTACAACAGTTCGTCACTTGTTTTCAGTAATCAGAATTTGATTTTATGATATTTATTAAAAATATTTAATTAAATAATGGCTCAAGCTGATAGAAAAGCAGTTGTAAAAAATGCCGATATGTCTGAAGAAATGTAACAGGATGCCATTGATTGTGCTAATCAAGCATTAGAGAAATTCAATATTGAGAAGGATATTGCTGTAAATAACTTTGTAGATTAAATAGGCATTCATCAAGAAGGAGTTTGACAAGAAATATAATCCAACTTGGCATTGCATTGTGGGCAGAAACTTCGGATCTTATGTTACACATGAAACCAAGCATTTCATCTATTTCTATATGGGATAGGTAGCAATACTTTTGTTCAAGAGTGGATGAGATATAAAAATTTAAATTATTATGGAAGATAATTAATGTTTAGCTTCTCTCTTTGCTGACCTCTTATAAATAGTCAAGCCCTAATCAGCTGACGTATAACAGTTTAAAGAAGTCTCTAATGAAAGATTAAGAAAATGTATCCTTGAATTAGTTCGAGAACTCACAACTCTTGTGTAGAATCTCAAGGAGCAGTTAGAAGAATTCATTGACAATAAATATGAACAAGAGATCCAAAGACTCGAAAATACCATTCGATAACATATAAGAGTAGAATAATAATAACGATTACATATCGAAGCCCTCACTTAAAAACTAGAGGAGGAATAGCAGAAATATGATGCAGAAATTAAAAATTAAAATGAAAAAATTAAGCAATTAGAAAATATGTGTTCGTAAATATCAATAAATAAAGTCTAAAATCTCAATTAAACTAATTTTATTATAGATCCTAATAAGAAATCCCCAACGGCCTTTGATAGATTGAATTAATTAGTAAGTGCAAAAACAAAATAATATACTCAATCAGCAGCCACTATCAATTCATAACAGTTATTAAAAATTTATTCAAATCCACAACAATTACTTAAAAAAATGCAGGACTAGAAAAATATTGAATAAATGAATATCAGAGTAGATACACAATAATCTGAGAAGGAACAAAGTCTCTTGAAGCTAAGAAGATGTGCAGAAGACAACAAAGGCGAAATGTTTCAATCTTAGAGAGTAGAATCTTCTAGTTTGGAAAAGTATAACAGAAATTCGAAATTGATGAGAAACTCAACAAGACAATCATAAATTATGGGAAATAGCTTTGATCTTGTTTCGAAGACAATGTAGCATTACAAGAAATAGCAGAAAAGTTTAAGTACTTTAAGATAATCATGGAAGAAATGATTATCATCTCCTTTTTATTACAATATTAAAATTATAACATGAGTCAATTTGTTTGCTCTTCTTGTTTACTTAATTTCCCAGAAGAACCTACTTATAAGGATCACTACAAAACCGATTTTCACAGATACAACATCGCTAGAAAAATGATCAACTTGGCTCCAGTCTCATATGAAGCTTATAAAGAAAGTAATCAATTAAATTATTTATTAGAATTTGATAAAATATCAGAGTAGAAGATCATAACTCCTATTCAATCTTAAACCTTTAAATGTTGTAATAAAGAATTCAAGTCAAGCAAAACTTATTAAGCACATCTGGTTTCAAAAAGCCATTAATAAAATTAATTAAAATCTCCTATCACAACAAATAGAAGTTAAACAGGAAATTCCTTATTAAATAGTAATGTATGTTTGTTTTGTGATGAATTATGCGATAATATTGAAGAATGTTTAAAACATATGAGTAATCATGGGTTTTTCATTCGTGAATAAAAGCATTGTATAAATGTTGAGGGATTGCTAAAAGCTTTATCAGAATAAATAAATAAAAATAACACTTGTTTACATTGTTTCTAAACATTCAAAAATAGTCATGCTGCAAAAGATCATATGTTAGACAAGGGACATTGTTTCATGCCTCAATAAGAATATAAGGTCTTATCAAAATATTACAATTTTGAAGAAAAACTATTAGGAATATTGGCAGAGCAAAAAGAATAACAATTATAAATTGAAGCCAAAAAACAACAATTGCAATTGAAATAAGAGTAAAAAGATGATGAAAAAGATAAGAAAATTGAAAATTAAGCTGAAGATGAAGGAGAATGGGAAGATGATGAAGATGATGAAGATGAAGACATTGATTCTGACGAGGAAGAAGAGGAGTTGAAATAAAAATAAAAAGATGATTTGCAAACAGATGAAGAATTAAGATAAAAAAGATTAAAATAATTATTAAAGTAAATTAGTAAACATAAAGCTACATTAACAAAAACTGGGGAATTATTGTTACCAGATGGAAAATTGTAATCATATTTAATTTATAAATAGATTGGGTCACAGAGATTATAGAAAGTATTATAAATAGAATCATATTCCTTTTAAAGTTTAAGAAGCTGAACAAGTTGAGAAATGTAAATTATCTATTAATCTATTTAGTGGACATTGCTGATGAGAAATAATTAGCATTATTAAGTGATGAACTTATAGTTGGACATTTGAGACATTTTTATTATCAAAAGACTAGAACATTGGCACATGGATAAACCAAAATCGGATAAAGAAACAACTTAATTTAGATGAGATGGCTAAGAAAATCTTGTTGATTAGTGTAAATTATATATAATATTTAATTTATTATTAATTTTCTAATTTCGTTTGAAAATAACTTGACTATATCAAATATAGAATAATAAAAGATATACTATTTTAAGATAAAGAATAAAATAAACAATAATGAGTGATTTAAAAGTTAATGAAATTAAAAATTATATTTACTATATTAATTGACTATTTAGTCATTTGCTATTTTGCAATTTGACATTATCTTATTATTATTCCAACTTTAAAAATCTTGTAGGAGGTATTTTTAATTCATGATTAATCTAATTTAATTATCATGAGATACTTATAAATATTAATTGAGTAGATTTTTTAATTCTTCATTATGATTATGAATTTATCCTGTTTCTTCTACTAATTTAGATCTTTTCAGAAGTAGTTCATAATATTTGCTCAATTATTTATCTAGAATCCTCCAAACTCTAAAAGTTTTTTCAGGTAGAACTTGAGTTAATTTTTCCCAATACTTTTTGCCTTCCTTTGCAATTCTTTCTTTTTTTTATCTTTCTGTTTCTTATTTGGCTGCTCTTCTTGATGACATTTTTTCAATTTGTTTCTTTCTCTATTCATTAGTTTTCATCCAATGCATCAAAAAGTTAATTATGCTGTTTTGATTTATAATGAAGGTATCATAATTTATTTTAGGAGCTTCATCTGGAACAGTTTAAGGTTATTCAATTTATACTTTTTTTATAGCCTCAGTAACAGCTTCTTATTAAGGTTGCTCTTCCTGGACTTTTAATTCACAGTTTTTAATTAATTCATCAATGAAAATAAGCATTTCATCTATTGAATCAATATTAAGGCATTTCTTTACGACTCCCAATTTAACACTTGAAATCTCTTATTATTCTGCTTTTTCTAAGGTTTCCCTCATTTTATCATCAATCAAGAAATCAACTTCCTCAATTAATATTTCAACTATTTCTTATAATTTTTCTTCGCTTAAAGGCAGTTGAACTTCTTCTTCAGCCATAATTTGTGACTTTTCTATTAATTAAACAAAAAAGTACCTTAGGTTTCTTTTTAGTCTTAAGGCTCTTCCCAATCCACTCCTAATTATTAAATATGAATAGTTTTGTCACATTTAAGAATTTTTGCTTTTAACTTTCTTACTTCTAGTTCATTCATGGAATGGATATCAGCATATGCTTTTTAATCAGCTTTATCAAAATGTTTAAACTTTCTCTATAACTCTTTAAACTATCTCGTAATACGTTTGTATTCCTAAGTTAATTCTTTATTTGTTTATTTAAATTTAGTATCAAATTCATTATAATCTTTTATTAGACTTCTCAATCTATTATTTAAATTTTAGTCTTTTCTTTTGAGATCATCATGTGTATGTGTATGCGATATTTATTTTTCCTTTAACACTTTGAGATTATAGTCTAATTTTTCAGTATTCAATTGATAAAGTGCTTTCATATCTTCATAGCACTTTTCCAAATTTTAGATTTCTGTTTCCATTGAAATTTTGAGTTCAGCATAGGATTTCAATCCTTAGATTCTTAACTTTTCAATGTCTTTAGTATATTCTTCCTCTTTTCTTTCTCTCTCATCAACAAATGATTTTTCCTTTTCGGTTCTTTTGTCAAATAAATTTCTTATTTCAGTTTAATAATTATTCAATAAATTGGCTCTCTAATTTGATTATATATTATTATACTTCTTCTATGTATTCATTTTCAATAGATTCTAGATCTTCATGTATGCATTCTCTTAATTAAAAAAATTGAGATCTCATTTTCTAAATTAGAGTTTGAATATCAATGGCTTACTCTTTAATCATTTTACCAAAATCATCATCCTTCTTATTCAACTCATCTAGAAATTGTTTAATTAATTCATCTTTTGCATGCATAATCTATGCAAATTTATCTTTCTATTAATTTATCAATTTATTAAGTTCCTCGCATTCATCTTTCTCTTACAGATTACACCATTCTTGTTCCAATTCAGCATTTTTAGAGTTAGCCTTTTTGCTTTCATCTTCTATTTTATTTGCCCTTTCAGCCCTTTTGAATTCTTCTTGTGCTCTTGTTTCCTTTTATTTTTAATCATTTTTCTATTTGATTGTATATAATTCCTCTTTTTTTGTACGAATCAACATGTCAATATTGCCTCGACTCTTTTAAACTTACTCTGATCCCTTTGCTTATTTTTTAGAATCCATCAGTTATATAAATATATTTATATTAATGTCAATTAGATAAAAAATCAATTAAGTATTTCTTAGCTTTCTCCTTGTTTTTACATTTCTGCTTTTGACTGTCTTATATCCGTTCTAGAATTTTAGCAAAGGTTGGTCTTTAGGATGGATCTCTTTTAAGACAATCCTTTGCTAGAATTGCCAAAATAGGTGGGTTGCTGGATTGAGGAATTTCAACTTAAGTATGTCCCCATCCTACAGTTCCCAGAATTTATGTAACAGAAAGATTTTCATAAGGCATTTTACCAGTAATAATTTCCCATAGAATCATACCAAATGAATACACATCAGATTTCTCAGTATAAGGTTCTCCTCTCATTATCTCAGGGGCCATCCAATGAGGTGTTCCAATCATAATTTTAGTTTTCTTGCTCTTAATCCTTGAAAGACCAAAATCACATAATTTTACATTCCAATTCGAATCTATCAACACATTGGATGACTTCAAATCACAATGCATTATTCTTCTACCATGAAGATTATTCATTCCTAAAGTAATGTCTTCAATTATTTAAATAAAATTAAGATTTTTAGTTTTCCTTTTATGAATATGATCATACAAACTCCCATTTTCCATATATCTAAAATTATATCGTTATTTACTCAGTAATTAAGTAAAAATTATGTCGCTTGATACAAACACCCATATAAAGAACTATATTAGGATGTCGCAAATTAGAGATAACTTAAACTTCTTTAAGAAAATCAGCCATTAATTATTTATGTTTTTATTAATCTTTCCGTTAGCAATAAGATTTGATTGCCACTCCCTAACCTAGCCAATTTCCTTTAAAAACAATTCCATAACTCCCCTTTCCAATCTGAGGTCCTTGTTTGATTTCTTAATAATTAATCAGCAATTTCTCATTGATTCCTAAGTTCTTTAACAAGCTCATTAGTTTTTCCTAATGCTTCTCTTATAAATTCTTCTCTTTGAACATATTGTATTTACTGGGTGAATTAGATTGACTAGATTCCAATTACTAATCCTTTTATTTTTCATTAGAACAGCAAGAACTCACATCTGAAAATTCTGAACCAGTTGCATTATTAATATTATAATTGCTTACTGCCATATTAGATTCTTCATTTAAATTCGTTCCCTAATTTCCCTATTATGGTGAGAACTTTGCAGTCTCTTATTGTTGGTCCTATTTTTCAGGTTATATCAATTTATCTTCCGACCCTCCAGATGACCGCTTATTTTTTGATTTCTTTTATTTGAGGACTTCCATCCCAGGACTTTCCAATACTACAGGTTCAATCTTTTGGATTATCGAATACAGTTAATCATATTTTGATGATTGATCACCTGAGTTTTCACTATCAGCCCTATGGATTTACCCTTCCATTTTTTTGATATAATATTTCTTATGTATATTTATTTGCTAAAGGATGAGATTTCTATGTGCTGAGATGTCAATGCCCAATTCGTCTTTTAATTCAACATCCGTTAGATCATGTAAAATCTCTCCTATCATGTGATTTTGTATAAATTTTTCTTTGTATTATGATAATCCTAAGTAATCTAACCAAGTACAAACTTCATCTTTATTCCATTCCTACACTATTAAATTAAAATATAATATAAAATTTATATACTTTTCTTTTTCCCTTTCAGAGCCACTATCTCATTCAATACTTATTAAGTTTCCTGCTAAATCTAATGTGTTTCATCTGTCTTATTATTGGGTAATGTTTGAAGATATAATTTATTATTATCTATCACTAAAAACGCAGAAAACACATTTTCAAAATCGCAAGGAACTTAATCAACTGCTTTTTACTCTTTTAATTTATCATTATCATATAATTAATAAGTCAGCTCTCTCGTAATCGCATTGTAAAAATATCCAGAACCCTGTTTCTTATTGTCTTAGAATTCCCCTTCATAGTTACTTATATAGAATTACCTGAGTAAATTGAGTTATCTGCATAATAGATTGTACCTCGTCCATGTTTACAATTGTTAAGCCAGTTTCCTACATATCTATCACCATAAATTCCGAAATGTTGTCCATATCCATTCTTCTTGTTATGCTACCATTAACCAATGTACAATTCTCCACTACTGTAAAAATATTTCCCAGTTCCATGTTTTTGATTGAAATGCCATTCCCCTTCATATCGGTTACCATTAGCAAACTTATAAGTTCCTTTACCGTGCTTCGTGTTGTCTTTCATCTCCCCTTTAAAAATTAATAATTGCAAATACCAAGATATTCATCCTTATTTGAGTAAATAATATGATGTTCATCATTAATTGCTTGTCTTTTCAAAAAGCCAAACAATTTCATTTCTTAAATATATAATAATCATCAATCTTCTAGTATGAATTCATATATAAATATTCAATCATATATCTTTTTATACAAATTTATTTCTAATATCTCTCATTATAATTAAATAAGTTTAAATTGCATCTTATATTTTTATTGAATCCTCCCTAAAACCATATTCTGCTCAATTATTTCCTTTTTTAATTGAATTCTAAATATTCCCCAATTGATGTCTCATAGCATTTGTAACAATGAACTTCTAAAAATTAATTTTCATTTTATTATAATATTTAACAAAAATATTAAGCAATGAATAATATTAAAGAACTGAATCAATTTATGCTAGATTATGAACTCAAACCTTCACAAAAACTAATCAAATACCTAGTAATCATTGGAATTTCAGCCATGAAAAGCAAAACCTAAGACATTTCCATTGAAACCATTAAACTAATTGCAAGTTATAATTTCAAATTTTCAATATTGTTTAGGTTCTTGTAAACAGCAAAAACTACGAGATGGAATGGCAGAACTCAAAGAAAAAGTCATTAATATTTAATAATCTTTATCACCAAAAAGCGCAAACTTAAAATTTTCTGAAAATAAATCAATTTAGAAATACAAGGATCAATTAATGGAATCATAATTTTCACCAATTCTCAAAAGAAAGGACGATGAATAGAATAGAACTAAAAAGACTTAAATAAAACAAGATATTGATTTCAATCTTAAATCTTTGAATTAGAATAAAAAAGAAAACAATCCACTTAACAATCAATTTTAACACTAATCCAAATTAAATTAACAAACTTAATAATCAAGCGATTATTTCATTTAAAAAAAGGTTAGCCTTGAACAAATCGCAAATCATTTTCTTAGTTCCCCATTGGTAAAGAATCCAATGTCAGCCAGGAATATTACATAGCAAGAAAGTGAACTCAAATGTAATTATTTATTATTATTCAATAGTTTTTTTTAGAATTCACGGAAATTGATTTGAGACTTTGTGATTTCACATTTTATTTATATACCCTGAGTAATATTTTATTTTACAAACGTTAAATGTCTTTTTTTCTAGTCTTATTAATGCATAATAATTACTGATCAACTTATAAATTAATCATCTTTCATTCAAAATATTCTGTTTTATATAATTAAATGATTTCCAATTTTTAGATAAAATCCTTTTACAAAGATACAAATTATATTATATAAAAAATTTTCTACTAAGTGATCTTCATATTATTTTTTTACATTAAAATAATAGCTTTATTTAATAATATATTATATCATATGAGAATTATTATTATCATTTATTAGAAAAATATAATTCCATAAATAAACCTAAGGATTTAAGACCTTACTATACATTAATAATAAAGAGATTAATGTTTTAAATTTGTCTTAAATAAGAAATTAAAATAATTATCTTTTTTTATGGGAATCTAAACCTAAAATTAATCAGTCAATATTAGCATTTTCTATAAATATGGTATAAATCTACGAAATGCACTAATTTTGGTTTTATAGGTAGGTATTCATAACTTTAAAATAATTAAATAAAATTTTAATATTCAAATATTATGTAGAATCCAAAGGCTCAAGAAATAAAATAATCAAGTTATTTTGATTATATCTTTGACTCATGGATTTAAGTTAATGAAACATCAAAAATTTAAATTCCTTAATTAACATAACCAAGTGTGTTGAGTTAAAGATAGAAAAAATTTAAATGCAGCAATATATTAAATTAGAATAATGATTACATAACTAAAGTTAAATCTCAAAATCATTAAAAAGAGCAAGATGTATCTCCGAATTCATTTCGAAATAATATTGATGAATTTAAATAAAAAGAATAAAATGTATTATTTTTATTTATAAAGAGAGTTTTCTAAAACAGTCAATAATTAGATCTAAGGACAGGTCTCATTCTGTTAGAAAGAATTAATATGAAGATTATGAAGTAAAACATGAAAGTATAGCTAACTGCTCAACAACGATTTCTTCAAATGCTAAAAATAGTATACAAAATTCATTAAATTTCTCTTAAAACTGCAAATTAATTCTTCCAAAAATTAACTGTTTAAAACCTTAAAAAATATGCACTAAAAAATTTAGAATTGTATGTAAAGTAATTGGAAAATTAGTTGTATTATTTCTCAAAAACTTGTCTAAAACAAGCCTACAGAGGGTAGGCAATATTCATAAATTATAAAAAGTATTAAATCTTAAGAATATCTTCAAATATGATAGAAAAATAAAAGAGTCATTATCAAATTCTTTTAGAGAATGGATTGAACCCTCTCTCAAAAAAATATAATATCATCTTCAAAATACATTTGTAGAATTATCTGATGAAAAATTATTGGACTTAAAAATATAGAAAGATTAAGAATAAATTTGGACTTTAAGTTTTACAAAATTTCTGTTTCAAAATTTAGAACTAATCACTAGAAAAGGGAAAATTCCAAAAGAAGTAGTAAGAGCTATGTCAAAATCTTTATACAAAGAAAATAATTTATATGTTTAGTTGTTTATAGCTTAAAGAACGAAATTTCTAAAAACGCCTTTCAGCCTTTTAGAAGCCTAGTTAATATGCTGTGAATATATTTTATTTAATGGAATCATTATCTAGCTATTTGAGTTAGCAAATAATTTGAAATATCGATCATTCAACCATAATCTTAAATGTAAAATTTAAATATTAATGTTAACAACCATTATTAATTTATTCTACATTGAATCTTTTAAACATATGCCAATCATTAATTTTGATATAACATAAGAGTAAATATACACAAGAAAGTTATATGTCACAACTGATTAAGAATAACATCTCAAATAGGTAGATACAAAGGAAATTAATAACTCAGAAACTCTAATTTTAGGATTATAGCAATATGAGTATATTAAAGGTTTATTCTAATAAAGGGAAAAATAAAAATAACAACTGTAATTAATTTTCAACAAATTTATTCATAACCTAAGCTCTTAAATAGATATATCTGAATGATCTTATATATTTTCATCTCGTAAAATATTTAAATTAATCTTATGTTATTTAAAAGAATCTTTTCTAAATTTAAATAATCCTGATATGATATAGGCTGATTACTTTTGATAACAAGTGTAATCTTTTAATCCCTGGCATTTAGATTAATAGCCAACAATGAAGCCAAATTTTATATAATTGCCTTTAGCCAAATCAAGGAGGGTTGTCTCGGATAAGACGTTAAAAAATTGAATAAATTATAATTATGGGATGAGAAAAAGCTTAAGTGCCTTAAAAAGCCCAATTTAAGAGACATATCCATAAGTTTATCTAATTAACTGTAAAAATTTAAATTCGCTCTTTTAAATGAAACTGCAGAGAATTTTACCTTTAATTCTAAGTATGGCATTTTGGAATACCAGAGTTTAATAAATCAATCAACTTAATAAAGAACAGATACTTGGATGAAAGTTTCAAAAAATAATTAAATTAATTTTAAAACGATACAGATAATTTAGACAAGTAGGTAATTTTAATTTCACGTCATTTAAAATTTAAAATATATATTGCAATCTAAATTAAATCTTCAAAAACTTAATCCTAAATTTAAATTATGGAGTTTAAACTCTATTATAATGAACATTTTATGGTAAACTGATTATAACCTTAAAATACTTAGCTACTATTTGTTTTACTAATTAATAATTAGAAATCATTAGAGGCAATCGTTATTATGAGTTTAAACGATAACAATAACATTTTTAGAAATTTGGATTAACCAAAAATAATATATTGAAGTCAAACATGAATAATTAAAGAAGGAACCATAAAAGTGAAAGCCTTAATGCATTACTTGCAGATAACCAATCATTTATTAGCAAAGTATTTATATATATTCATTTAGAGAAATTGATTTATCTACTAAATGGTGTGTAATTTGATTGATCAAAAAGATGAAAAGAGTTTTATGATGTATGATAAATGATGCAAGGATGAAATGCCTTTGATATATATTCAAAAACAAGGGAATATTGGTTGTCTAATTTGGAATTTGATTGTATTTTGATGTGACAACCTGATATAAATTTATTTAAAATTATTTAAGAGGGAATGTCACAACCTAGTATGTCGTTCTTTCAAACTCGTTAAAGGGCTATCTACTCAGAAGTGATTAACCCTGAAAACTCGGTAATGTACTAAGTAATGTTAAAATATTACAACAGGACTTGTCATATCTACCAGATATAACTTTAAATACGACTACGAAATAAAAGGTTCCTAAGGCTTATTCACTAAAGAAAACTACAAATACATCGAGACTATCTGGAGCACATTCAATTTAGAAGAGTATTGGAATCAATAATTAATTAAGTTTCTGAGGAATTGGTGGTGGAGCCAAAAGTGCTCGAACCATATGAGCCGATTGGAGATAACATTCCAAGAAAAGTAGCAATCAACAGAAAACAGAAGCTTTATGCATCATTTAATATACTGCAGTTATTAGATTAAGAAGTATGAATATGGATTTGAAATTTATAGGGTATTGATTTAAATATGACAAACCCATAAGTACAGTGGTTACCACTTGATCTATTTGATGATAATTCTAATGATGATTATCCAAATGAGGATTGGATTAGAAGAAGAGTGGATGAGGAAGGCAGAAATAGAAAACTATATGCGACTTGTTTGTTGAAGGAAGATGGTATTTATGAAGCAAGAAGATGCGAAATTTTTGAATATAAAGATGGCATATTTAATGGGAAATTAAAGGAAAAAGATGGAAGAGATTTTAAAGCTCATAGATTATATATTTGTTTTGATGCTGAAGATCCTCGTAAGTTTGTGAAAAGGTTGGGAACAGCATTGAAAAATAGAGAACTTGCTGACAGCAGAGTTAGATATAATTATTTTATTGATGGAATGCCAATCCAAGATTTGAGTGAATTAGATACAGAATAAAAGCGAAGATTAGAATAATTGGCAAAAACAAAGAAATTAGAAAATTTAGATACCACTGCTTTGATTGCAGAAGTTAATTATGATTATATGAGGACAATGAATAAAATCATTTTTGATAGATATTTAGAATACGAAGATGAAGAATTGAATTTATAAATAGATGAAGATATATCTAAAGAAGTACCTTATTATGGGATGTTCCCAGTGAGTAAGGAGAAACAATTAGAGATGTATAACCCAAGGGAAATCACTTAGATAGATCCTAAGAATTTCAGAGAAACTTTCAAGGATTTTTGTTTCAGCACTCTATTTATTAAAACTGAAGTTATTAGAGCCTTATAAGAGATTAGATATGAATGCAATAAGATGTAAGAATTTGAGATCTTCAATTTTCAAATAGACAAAGTGATGGTTTTGGAAGAATTTAAACATGTGCAAGAGAGTTCAATCTCATAAATGCTTTATTCTTTAAGAGGGTCTTGGATTTAGGATTTATTAAAGATCATGAAGACCTACTTTTCGGGAGTTGGCAAAGGATGGTTTAATATGAAGGAATCAAATAAGATCACATATGACTTTGGTAAATTGAAAAGATTCTTAACTGTTGTAAGATTGATGATGTAGGATACTGTACAGAGTTTAGTAGAAAACAATTATAAAAGATTTGTTAATTATTTGAAATCATTCATTCCTGATGAGGTCAATGTAGATGATCCATCCAATATCATCAATAAACATTAAGTAATTGGAGTGAAACCAATATTTACAATAGACATGATTAAAACTAACGATGATAAAGAATTTCTTTATTCAACATCTCCCATGAATTTTGTTAATATGATCATCCAGTTATTTGACAAGACTCTTGATGAAATTACAAAAGTACCTGATTTGGAACCTAAATTACTTACTGATCTTTATAAATAGAAAACGGATTCTTTCATTAAAACTCCAGTGAAACCAAAAGAAAGACCCTAGACTCCAAATCCAAATGAAAGACCCAAGAAGTTTCCAGATGAAAATAAGTGGATCTGGTTGTTGGTTGAACACATCAGAGAAGAATTGATTAGAGGAATTAAACCCTTGGAAGATTATTTAAAAATATTTGAGAAATTCAAACCCATTTTATAGATGAATCCTGATGATGAGATTAGAAGAATTGAAATGGATGACAATCCTTGGGAAATAGATTAACTTAAGGAAGAAATATTCAAATACAATAAGATGGAGGAAGAACTCAAAACCTAAATTCCTGATATTGTAGAGGTTTCAATATTTTAAGTTTAATGTAGAGAAATTAAAATGTATCTTTGTGAGAAATACTCCATGATTAGCAAATTGTTGGTCGATATGATTGCAAGGAGGGCAAGAAAGAAGACAATGGAGATCTTTTAAGAATATTAGAGAATATAGAATAAAATTAAAGAGAGTCCCAATAACATTGAGAAATTAACGGATATCAAGGAGTTTATGCAAAATTTACCCAATGAAGTTGACAAATTGAAAATTGAAACTTAGAAGTGCTTTGATATCTATAAAATATTAGATGAATTTAGTTATAGAGGATTTTAAAAAGAAGATTTGGATAGAAAATGGTATGTATTTGGATGTCCCAAAGATACTTTTGATTTGGTTGCTAAAAGATAAAAGGATATGGAAAAGGAGAAGGTTAAATTTTAGGATGAGATGAAAGTTTCACAAGAAGAATTTAAAGAAAGTATTGATAATTTAGAAAGGACCATCCAAAATTTCAGTTAGCATTAAGCTCTAAAAAATCATGCAGAAATTGCATAAACTGCTTAAGATGTTAATAAATACTTAGCCGAATTCCAAGACTAAGCTCGTAAGTTTAATTCTCGAGAGGCCTTATTTGATTAGGAATAAACTGATTACAATAAAATTACTATGCTCTAAAGAGAATTTCAACCTTACAGCAATTTATGGATAACTACTAATTAATGGTTTACTAATTAAGAATCTTGGTTGAAGGATGAATTACCTACAATTGATGCTGTTGCTGCTGAAAAATGGGTTGAAGAGGCTATCAGAATTTTAATTGGATCTTGCAGGTAATTCAAAGATAAAGATCTCTAAGGCGTATTAAAAATTGCTACTTCAATTAAGCAATAGATTGAGGAATTTAAGCCAAAGGTTCCCTTATTGGTTGCACTTCGTAAACAAGGAATGAAGGATAGACATTGGCTAGAATTGAAAAACAGAATTGGATTTGTTAAACCCTAACCAGAAAGTGAATTCACTTTTACTAAGGTATTAGAAATGGGGTTAATGTAAAATGTTGATGTTTGCGTTGAAGTTGGAGAAAAGGCACAAAAAGAATATATGATTGAAACAATGTTAGATCAAATGGAGACTATATGGGAAGGAATCAACTTTTAATTGTTGCCTTACAAATCAATTACCTTTATTATTAGAGGTTATGATGAGATTCAATAAGTACTCGATGAACATATTGTAAATACTTAAGCTATGTCTTTCTCACCTTTCAAAGGTCCATTTGAAGATAGAATCAACAATTGGAATACAACTCTCAAAACGACCTCAGATGTTTTAGAAGAATGGTGTAAATGTTAAGCCTAATGGATGTATCTATAACCTATTTTTGATTCGCCAGATATTGCAAAATAATTACCTGCAGAAACAAAGAAATTCAAAACAGTAGATTAAACTTGGAAGCATACTATGACATAGGCTAAAACTTATGCTCAAGTCTTGCGAGTTTGTACTTAAGAGGGTTTATTGGAAAGATTGTAGGAGGCTAATAAAAATTTAGAAATAATTTAAAAGGAACTCAACAACTATTTGGAAAAGAAAAGAGAAAAATTTGCAAGATTCTATTTTCTTTCTAATGATGATTTACTAGAAATCTTATCTCAAACTAAGGAACCAACAGCAGTCTAGCCACATTTAAGAAAGGTATTTGAAAATATCAATTCAATTGAATTTGATGACGCAAAAAAGATTCATGCAATGTATTCTGCTGAAGGCGAAAAAGTAAATTTCGTTAAGCTTTTAGATCCAAATAAGAAAAACGTGGAAGA